GATCCATATGTCCTCCTCTTTTGATGCTCATTGAAGTTCACCTTCGGCTCCCTGCTGGGACCTCGCGAGTTCGGTTCCCCTTCTTTTGGTCCACTCTTGCTGCCTAGTAGCCCGTCCAACCTATTCATGTTAGCCTGAGTTCGCCTCTACATCATCGCATCTATCTTTGTGTCAAAAGTTCTAAGAGACTGCTCTTGCTGAATTCATAACTTCTCCATGTCGTCTTTTAAGCGTAACTCTCTCTGTTCCGCTTCTCGTGTCATTCGCGACAAGTTCTTCGCTACGTGCTCGTCCGTTCTTTCTTTCGAGCGTTATTCGTTCCTACCAATTTCTTGTCTATTGCGGTTTATTTCTTCCCGTAGACTTTCTCTTTCAATGTGAACTGCTCTTTCTAGTTCACTCATTCTTATAGACATCTGTTCATTTTGTTCTCCTATACTGCTAACTATGTTGTTCAAGGCTTCTTCTAATGCTGCCCCGTTATCCACGAGTGGCGTCACTAGTGGCGGTGTCACCCTGTCGGTCCCAGCTAGCTTCGTGCTGGTCGAGATTCGGGCTTTGACTCTCTGTCTCGACGTCTTTTCATTATCCACTTCAGGATCCGCCAATGCATTGCCTAGCCCTTTGTTTCTACTCTCCCCAGTTCGCGTCTCTGAATTTTTCATAATCGCAAAGCCTCTCGACTGGCCTGGTGTGTTTGCGTCTTTGCTTATCGTTCTCACCACACCAAATTTGTCCAATGGTTCCATTCTCTCTTTCGACGTATGCCTCATTCTCCTGGGTCGAACTATTGAGGCTGACTTGAGATCCAAAGTCCAATTGCTCTTCTTCGTCCTCTTCTTCCTCCTGGGATTCACCTTCATTTCCTGTGCCCACCTCCATGGTGAATGGAAAGATGCTTCCTAAGGTGTTCCTCATTCTTTCTGAGAACGATGAGGACGTTGTTTGTGTCTCAGTCCCGCCTGCCATCATGGTGTTGTCTGTTGGGGATCTTCTAGTTGCCACTATTTCAGTTGAGATGTCGGACAGTTCCGACATCTCTTCTCGGTCCAATGTCCCGGTGGAAGTGGCAAAATCATGGCCTTGTTCTACCGGAGTAGATTCACTCGCCAGCCTTCTGCCTCTCCCCTCCGGTCCATGTACTTCCTGGTTCTCATTCATGGCCTGGTCCGTATGGACCTCCAAGTCTAACACAGCTTTTCGCTCTTCTGAGGACTTCTGACTCCTAGTTTTAACGATTCTGCCTAAAAATCGTCTCCCCTTTGTCGGTCCGGGCTCGTTTGATCCGATCCACAAAAGGGTCGGTCATAGTTTTTCTTTGCTTTTTAGGTATGAATTTTCTAGAGCTATTACCTCGTTTAGGTATCCTTGACTTGTCTATACTCATTCTCAATTTGTCACTTCTTAATGCCTATACACTCAATTCGATTGCTAGTGACCTTATAGTTTGACTATCAATAATAATGACACAACACAATAAATTTCACAAGATTCTATTAAATAGTGACCACGAATCCCTGTATGTTATCAGAGTACAACTTGTATAATTTATTCACACCAACCGATTATCGGTCGTAAGATTTGAGAACTAGCACAATATGATGTTATCAGTCAATTTAAAAGACAGTGTACTCACTACCCAATCAAGCACAAATTATGTTGATTTAAAAAAAAATAATAATAACCGAATAACAATACCTCTATGAAAAACGTATGTGTATTGTACTTTCAGTCGGTCACAGTACAATAGTCGAACTTGTGTTTTAAAGAAAAAGCTTTCCCTGCTTGGTGCTGCACCAAACAGACAAAACTTTGAAGGCAGTAATTTTCTCAAGTGGGCGTCTATTGCCCCCACCGAGTACTGTGTTACCTATCTGCCTTCGGACTGCCCGAGCATGACCTACTAAAATTCTCAGGGCAGTCAATTTTTGCAAAAACGTATTGGGTTTCAATCCACACCAATGAATTACGCTCTTTTTAGTGTCGCGAATATCCGAGTTCGGACCTGTTTTGTTTTGGTCTGGTCTTTATTGAAAGGCAAGTTACCAGTGCAGTCAATGATTCCTAGCTTGTCTGTTAATAACCTAATACCTCTCACTATAATCTTTTCTTCTGTTTATCTAAGTCCTTTAATAAAATAATACCCCTCCGGGTTGACAAAAAAAACAGTACCCCTCCGGATTGGCAAAAATAGGACCCTCCGGATTGGCAAAATTGAGACCCCTCCGGATTGGTACCCCTTAGTGTTAGCAAATGTTAGACCCCTCCGGATTGGGACACCTGCGGTTTTGTGAAAACAAGACCCCTCCGGATTGGGACCCCTCCGAACTTGAAAAAATTTGGACCCCTCCGGTTTGGGAGCCCTCTGGTTTTGTAAAAGTAGCTTTTCGGAGATTTCCTTGATTTTCAACCTATACCCCTCCGGATACGTTCTCCGATGCTGGTATGCTTTTTGATTTAACTAGGAAGGTTAGTTGATCCTTTCCTAGACCCTTCCGGATTGAAGTTAAGCCTCTTATTTGACAATTCACGCTAACGGTGAAGGGTCTTATCGCTTACCTAACTTCGACTCGATTAAGGTTTTCTTGTGCCTTTAGCCTTCCCTTTTCGTCTAGAACAGCCTATAGTTACTTTATTCAACCTCTATTACCTTTTGGTAGGGGTGTAAGCGCTTTCCCAAAAAAAATTTATAAAACGTGAAGGGTCTACCCTCCCAAATTGGTGAATTTGCTAAAAACAATCTCAAAAAATTTTCACGCTTTTTTTCGAAAAACTTTTGTCCCTATCAATAAGCTCAGCTAATCTCTGATCTATTGGTACTAAGATCAACTGGATCTGTCGAGTAGTTCCAAAGTTATTAACCAAAACGTCTTTTCTTTTTTCTAAAGTCAAGAAATTTGTCTCTTATAGGTTCCACCTAACTTTTTCCGCAATTCTGTTCTTTTCGACCTAAAAATTATTGATCCGAGCTCACAAGGCCTATACTCTTCTAGTTCAATGCAAAAGATCCGATCTAAAACGCTTTAGTTGAAAAAATTTGCGAAAAACTATGCTACTTGGCCCCCTCCGGATTGATGAATCCACCAAATCAAACACGTTAAGTTCAATTTCTCTGTAACCCAAAAGGCTTTCGGGAAGCGGGTCTTAGAATCTGTAGATTCACTAGTGGACGTTGTCCGAACAACTATCTTTACTGTCCTAACTTAAAATTTTCAAAAAAATTTCTGAATTTATAGTGTTCCGTTTTCTCAAAAATCACGAAAACTCGGTTTTTGGTACCAAAATAGATCCAACCACTTCCGAACTAAACTTAACCAGTTCTATCTATTATAGTAGTGCAAATACGATGTAACACACTAACTTAGCGCTTTTTTCCGTTTCAAAAATTATCGATATGTCAAAAATCGCGATTTGTGGGGGGATCAAAATATCGCTATTTTGACCCTAAAAACCGGTCTGTTTTCTGTGTTTTTCACTGATAAACGATATAGGGTTGATAATATGGGCTATATAAGTAATAATATTAGTAATATTATACCCCTACGGGTTTGTTCAATATCAGAATTAAGGTGCTTAACTCGGATATTCGCAGTTCGGTGAAGGGTCACTACAGTGCAGCACTGTCGAGCCCCCCACAGATTATTATCTTACTTTTCGTACCAAAAAGGTTACAAAACGTGTTAACGATACCCAACAGTCGATTGTTGTTGTCGTTGAGCCCCTTCTTGTTGCTCCTTGTACTGCTTTCCGGATTAGTCGCCTCCCAAAACCCTTCCGAATTGAGCGCAAATCAGCAGACCCTTCCGGATTGAGCGCAATTTATCTTTAACGTGCTTAAATGCTCAAATAACCCTACAGTACAAGCCTCACAAACGGGCCACAAAATTGATCGTATCGATCCTGACTGATATAAATGCCTGTAACAACAATATATCTATCAACAACAAACGGGGGGGTCGGATCACATCTTGTCTGGGGGGATGATTTTACTGATTTTTTACTTTTTTTTACTGTTTTTGGTTTTTTCAATTATTTTTTATGTTTTTTGTTTTTCTTGGGTTCTATACTACTTTTTGTTCGGTTTTATATATATCTTTAAGTGTTTTTGGTCACGGACCACTCAGGAGATGACGGGACCGCGAATCCCCTCACCCTTCCTGCTTCGTGAATTTTCCTTCTTAACTAGGTTAAAAAGCTATTCACGGTAATCCGGAAGGCTTCCGCGTTCCGAACTACCTTTCCGCCCGGTGGTTTAGGCCTATTAAGGGCGTTAATGTGAAGAGCATCCGCTCGCGCGGAGTGCTCGTTAACGGTTCTGCCGGTCATGATGTTAAAAAAGAATAACACCCAGGAGCGCCATAAAAACATCTATGTAACATTCGCCCGGAAGATACATATCGACGGAAAATAAAGCTAGGTTCTAAGACGACGTCTAAACAGAGCTCTACATGCTTTTCACCGTCTCTACCAAGCCAGTACTTTCGGTGGTTTTTTCAACATCGTTTTTGCGAATTGATTTTTTGGAACGCTACGACAAATTATTATGAAGTTCGTTATGCAAGGTTACTAATGTGAAAATGGATCATAACCGTATCGATTTTAATTGTAAGGACGTCAACACTTTTCATCTTCTTAAATCAATAACACTTCCATATCCAGCGAACAAAAAACTAAATTACAAAAGGGGCCCTTCCGTTTAGTTACGGTAAGTGCACAAGCTGGATAGGGCCATACCAGCGATATAAAATGCATATATATCAGCAATGAAGTCATAAATCAGCATTAAATGCATCTTCGTAACGTTAATTTATCTTAGCCGTCCTTCCTCTACAATAGCGCTTATGGAGTTGTCGATAAATTGAGCTTCCATATCCATAAAATTCCAAGGATTTTGACTGGAATACGTGATGAAGGACTACTGGCTGTAGCCTCGGTTACTATGATACTTTTGACCTTCTGATTTATGTTTTAGTTAAATGAAATTGGATTTTTTTTAGTGTAAAAGATGTGAAAATGTCAAAGTTTTTGGGCCATATTTGTAATGTTAGTCGACATGTTCTGGACCCAAGCTTTGAAATGAAATTGCCCCCACGCTTCCTTTTTCTCACTATTCCGTCAATTTTGCAAGTATGAGTAACCGATCTAGTATAACGAGCACAAAATCAGCGAAGTTTCCTGTTACTGATAGTTGGAGTCCTTTTGCTTCCAATGTTTACGGGAACAACAGACTATCAGTCAAAGTGAAACCGACCCAAAAACATCATAAGAAGTTTTCGATTGACTCGCCTTCGCGTTTTAATATCATCACATCAAACCACGTGCATTATGATCTACCCAAGAAGCAGAAGATTTCATACATCAACCTCAAAATCAGGAAACTATACAGGGACTCAGAATTACAAACTGCCAATGTTTACAGTTACGTCATCAAAGTCGAGTGTAACAGTCCAGATAATGCCTGGGTTATGCGCAGAAATGTAGCTGGTAAGTAAATTTGAGTAGCTTCCTAAACCAAAACTTTGGCATTGAAAATAGTTAATTCCTTGCCTATCCTGGAAGGGATCATGGATAGTAGTTATTTTTCGTCACTTTTCTAGATTTCAAGTCACTGGATCACATCTTGCATGGAGGTTGTGTTGGAATTGACCCATGCAGGGAACGAGGACTTCCACCTCTGCACCCTCCGGAGACCATAGACAAAGGACACAATAGCTACAGCCAAGTTTATCTGCAGTATAACAACTACCTTGACACTCTGAGTCGATTTCTAGACTCAAGATCGAATGAAAACGGAAATTTACTGCTGCTTGATTGCTTCGTGTGTTCCTTGCGTGAGTTTAAATGGCCTCGAATGAAATGAAAGAAAAAACAATTGACTGGCTCTAGTTTTCCGTAAAAACAAGGGATTGGAAGTATACAATGGGTATATTATGTAATCCATGGTCATATGGATGGGTTATGTTCAGTAGAAACCGGTATTGGGGCAATTAAGAAAAGTATTAGTACAACTAACTGCAGTAAATTGTAACCACAGTAAATTTACAACTACCAGCGGTAAGTTGAAGCATCATTACATTGTTTTTTTTGCAGTGCTGAGCTGGTTTGAAATATCTCTAGACGGCTGTCACAAAGTTCACATGCCTGTGGCACTCGCACAACCTTTCCACTTGGGAGCACCGAGCAACGCTGTAGTTAAAGTCAGGTAAAATTTAGCCTCAGTAAATCCCAATATTTTTCATTTTCGAACCTAAATTCTGAATTTTTGAAAGCTATACTGGACGACATTGAAAACACAACATCAAAAATTCGAAGAGCTAAAAAATTATAAATGTTTTGTCTTTTAGAAGTTACAAAATTTATATGCTTGCTCTGGCAGATAGCAACAGTTTTAGACGACCTGCCCGGACCTTAAGTTTTAAAAATATTCCGTTACTTTCGTATCGAAAGTCGGAACAAAAATTGTTTTGACAAAAATAACGTAAAAGTTGTCATTGTTTTACCTCTATCTTCTCATAGAATTAGCTTTGGTTGGTACCTAGTGTCACAGTTCTGGAAATACTTCGCCTCTAAGGAGAATAAAAAAAATAAAACTGAAGGAAAAGGCATAAACATACGTTTTTGCTTTGCATCAGAACTGGGTTTTCCTGGTTAACTTCAGGCATAATTTTCCTGTAAGTTTGAAAGTTTTTTCAATCATTTTTAAATAAAAAAAATTAAGCCAATTTTTTGATAATGTTTTCATTGTCGCCCAGTATATATTTAAACATTCAGCTTGTTGCTTAAAGTGAAACTGAAAATGCTTTAGAATTATAGTCAAGAACCGACGAGCCTCGATCCTTTTTTTGTCCCGACGAGTTTGGTCTTTTTTTTTGTCCCGACGAGCCCCCAACTCATGAGGTTTGGAAAATAACTGTGGCGTAGAGTGCGTTTTTGCTTTTTCGCCTGATTTTCGGTACCTGAAAGAAAACTCAATGGGCCCAAGTGTGGTTAAGTTTTAAAACGAAGTGGTAAAGTATTTTAAGTAGTGATGAAAAGAGTTAAAAAAGTTGTTTCAGCATTGAGAAAACTTTTCTGATAATCCCACCTCGTTTTTCAGACTAATTTAGATGGACAACGACTGAAGTATAGTTCAAGTTTTTAAAAGCAAGGATATTTTAAATTATTTTTTATAGTTTTTTTAACAAGTAAAAAAAATTAAACAAATTGCGAAGAATATTCGGAACGTATTGTGCATTTTGCACAGTAAACGGCTATCATTGTCTTCTTTTGAGTTAGTCTCCACCCGACTATTGGAGTGATTTTTTGTACGAACTGCTTTGGAGTGTCTCATCTCACCAATCGAATTTTCGTTTTCTATCTCGAGTCTAACTTCAGGTATCCGAAACAGGCGCTGGGCGACCTGACTATTGAAGTGAGTGACATCGTGACAGTCGTCGAGAGTTTGGTGGAATCGGACTCTGCCTGGGCCAGGGGCAAGAGCGACAAAACTTTCCTGGTTAGTTGATACAATAGCAATTCTATTTTTGTCACACTTGACATAAAAAGGTTTCGTAAGTCATGTTTTTGAATTTTGACCTTTTTGAATTTTCTTAAAAACCACCCTATTAAATCTGAGATGAAAATTTCAATCGAAAGAAGCGGTTGCGCGAATCTTTCCTGCAGAAGCGGCTAGTCCTCAATTTTTTGTAAGAGTAAAGTTAGATTGAAAAATTCCAATATCTCAAAAATAGCCGCTCTTCTCACTTATTTTAGCAGAGAAACAACTAAAGTTTTGGCGCCAAGTCCGTATTTCGTCCCGCTTCAGTGTAGCAAGTTCAAAAAAAAACAAATAAGTACTGCTAGCTCTAGCTGAGCCCTACGTTTTTCATCGAGATATACGAAAATTTTGGTAAATCTAGTTTTTTCATTATTTTTCGTTTTTTTTTTCGACTTACGCTTTTTAATTATCATGTCGTATCGCAAGAGGTGCAAAGCTCTGCTTCGCCTCTGTGTAACAAATTAAAGTTTGTTGGTTTTGGTTATTTTAGCTCATTGACATTTTTTCAACTTTTTTTAACACTCGCAATCGGGAACTAGACTTTTTTCTCGTAAACAGCTTTTCTTACATTCTTTTTTTTTCACTTATTATCTTCTTTATGCTTCGAATTCTGACCGGAGTTTGAATCTCTTTTTCTTTTCTCTTCGAGTTCTGGTCTTTATTTAATCCTGGCCAGTCCGTTTTTTTTTTCAGTATCAATAAAGTTGGCTAATTTGAAACAGTGGACGAATTTTGCTGTGATTGTGCTGTGAGCAATTAACATTTAAGTTGCAGTTGAAAGTGTTGATCATTTTATTTTTTGGGGGACTTATTAGTTACCACAGCAAATTGCAACTTACAAATGCTGTAATTAGTTACAAGTGTGAGTGTTGTTCATTTTAGATCTAAGTTATTTTTTTTGGGCGCAACTTGTGTCTGCTTAAAGGTTGTAGGCTTTGTTTCCGCTTCGTAAATCTTGTTCCCTTGCAAATTGGCAAATTTAATTTTCAAACGTCTGGCATGTTTGCCTAGATAGAGTTCTATTGGAGACAAATGAAATTGTACATTTTGATAGACCTAATTATTTTTTCGATTTTAAATGTTTCTCTTCTGTTTGCGTTGTAGTGCGACGCGGTGCAAAGTTCCGATTAGCCTTTCTGTCACCTATTTTTTGACGGTTTTTCTTTCAACTACTGTTTTTGATTTTTGGTCTTCCGTATTTTTCTGTCTGCTAGCTTGAATTGCTAGACATGTGCTATATAGCAAGTGTTGTGAAGCTCTAGTGCCTCTGTGGTTGGCTGTTTCCCAATTCGCTTTGAATTGATGCATGAAAAAACGATTTTGTTTTCTGAATCTTACTTTTTCACATGGTTTCTGTTGAATTATTTTCCTTTTTTTGTTAATTGATCAAAGTCGAGTGTTTAAGAGAAATTTTTTATGGCCAATTTTTTAAATTAGTCATAAAATAAACTAGTCATAAAACTGTAGAAGGAGAGAATTTATCTGCTTAGAAAACGTAAAAAGCATAGTAATAATTAGGCAATTGGCAACAAAACTGGGCTGTCAAAGTATCCAAAATTCGTGAAATTTTGGTCTGCAAATCAAAAAAAATCCAGCCATATTCCTCCACACTTTCAATCACCACATGTTTTTTTTCTGATGAAAATTTTAATAAGATACCACAATTGACCCCGCGCAAGCTTTTTTTGAGGTAGTTGAAATTGAGGGGGTTATTACTTTTCTTAACTTAACTTCTATCAACTTTTTTTCCTTCCCTTATCTTCGTGGCTGCGCAAAAACTACAACAATTATTCGTGGCGACAACAATTATTTTGCGAAGAATACTTAAAAAATAACGAACAACAGGAGCTGTTTTTTTTTGCAATTTTTTTTTATTTGGAGGTGAAAAGAAGAACTACTAGCAGTTGGGTTTTTTTTTGAAAGCAGTTATATTAAATCTATGAAATTTTATGAAAGCATCACTTATAAACATTTCATTTTTCATATAAAATAAATTACATTCAGTCGTTTATTCCATCCTCTAAATTAAAAAAAAAATCTCTACACTAGTCAGCTTGTGAGCGTTAATGTATTAAATCCGCTCGCAAAAAAAAGTGTTCATTATTTAGTCGCAAAGTGTTCCTTATTTAGCGGCACTTTTGCTATAATCACGATCTGTAGCATTGAAAATTTCATAGCATTTGTTCTCTGCTTTTTTGAGGCTAGTGTTTGTGATTAATTATGCGTCCATGGCTGAGTGATTTGTGCGTGAGTTCAAATACTCTAGGTCGCCGTATGTCGCAGATCGAATCCGAGATCTAGCCGAATTTTTACTAATTCGAGGCTTGTTTCTACTTTTCTTATTGCACTTCATAGAGCTGATTTTGTGTCGTTTTCTGGCTCGTATTTGCAAAAAGCTTCACCTCTTTGTTTAACTTGAAAACTTTTTTTTACTTTAATTACGTCAACCTTATATTGTTGGCGTTGGCAGTTTATAGAGCTGATTTTTGTCGTTTTTTCGCTAGTGTTTGCGAAGCACAGCTCGTAAGTGGTGCGAAGCTCCGATTCGCCTTTCTGTCACCTTTTTTTACGATTTTTTTCAAATACTTTTTTAAATTTTGGTCTTCTGTGTTTTTCTGATCCAAACTTGAAGACTTTTATTACTTTAAATACATCAACCTTATATTGTAGGCGTTCAGATATTTGATTTGAAGGACTATGTTTGTAAATTGAGGCGTTCAAGTAGAACTCTAAGTGTCTTTTTCTAAATGCTTGAAGCCAGACATATTTATCAAACATGTCCAACAGAAATTAAACGGTAATTGCTGGCAGTAAATGTCGACATGTATCACTAACTTCTATAAACATGTATCGAAAGGGTACATGACGTATATAAAAACCACGTAATACTACCACGACATGGTATCAAATGTCTAAGCTACAGAATTGTTACCAAAGCTGTTCTTTTTATTGGCATAGGACATGGACGTTTAACTTCTAGTCTAGTTGAATATAAATCCTTTGATTTTTGCAAGTTTCTCTAAAAAATGTATTCATCCTTTTAAACCAGTTAGCAATACTGCAAATGTGAGTTTGTGTTGATCAACACAAAGTCAACATGCAATTTGAATTTAAAATCTGACCTTTTCTGCTTAAGGATCCAAAAATGGTTTGTTAGCTTGCTCAATTTTTACCCCTAACGTATATTTAGTTAGTTTAACCCTTGGGCTAAATCCTAACGATTTTGGCTTGAGTTTAAAGTGTTGGGTGGGCTATGGGTTTTACTTCAAATTTCAGCTCGTGTACAGAGGTTAACGAATGCATTGGTTGTATTTAATCACTTGCGCCCTTGGTTATAAATAAGTTAAGTTATGAGCTGAAGCGAGTTGACAGTTTTGGTGGAATGTTAAACTTGGAGTCAAGTGGAATTCCCAGGCTTAGAATTAGCCAATAAATTCAAAATTGGTTTGAGTGGTTTAAGCAGAATGGCGTGTGACGCGAAAATTTTTTGCTAAGTTCGGATCGGAGATTTTTTATGGAATTTTAAATAGTTTGGCTAAAAAGTATTTAAATAACCTTGTATGTTGGTGCCATGTCAAATAACAAGACTCAAAACTTCGAATTCCAATTTTCTGTATAGATTAAAGAATTGATAAGACTTATTTTTCTAAAAACCGGGTTCGCAAAACTGAGATTGATAAATTCTTTTTTTTTTTGGCGATAAGCACTCGAAAAGTTACCATTTTCCAAAATAATATCTAGCACTCGGCTTTTTAAATATCTTCAAGCTGACGTTTTGCGACATTCCGTGGTCTTATTTGGTAATAAATAATCATTTGTTAAATCCAAACGTGTTCACATTTGCACATGTGCATGAATATAAATAGCAATACAGCTTGCATAAAAGTAGTTCCTTTTCATTATATCTGGCTGCGTGCTGTTTCAGAGTGGCTTATTTCCCGCGTATTGTGTAGAGGACTTCAACTTTGACAACACTGTCAAACCCGACCTCTCTCTGTGTCCGGGACTGCAGACTCTAATCAAACAGGAACGGGAAAATAAACCCAACAAAAATCAAGGTGAGCTCAACAATTTTTTTATCGTTTTAACTTTTTTACGAGATGTAAATTTGGGCCTTGTTCCATTGGACTTTGCGTTCGAGTGGGTTAACAATTGCAAGAGTGAGCAAATTAAAAAATCTGGCAATATTATTTTTTTCTTTTCTTATTAAATGATAAATGCAGTGAACACACGTAATGAGCTTGTGTCGTTTTTTTTTTCATAAAAAATTTGTAAAATCTGATCACGCTCTAATTTGCCTTCTGCGCTTTGACTTTTGTTTTCTTTTTTAGGTTGGCTTCAGCGCAATTTCTACTACTGAACAGCAAAATTGTTAACGTCACGAAAAACGTCTTCAACTATCTGTTCGTTTGTTTTTGAAAAAGTGTCCATCAAAAAATATTCTTGAAATTTATCGAGTTTTAACGTGATTACGCCTGCGATTAGCAAGCGTTATCAAATCGAAATGCAGAGTTCTTTTCTGGTTAACAACTAGTTAAACAAAATCAGTGAATCTCTTGACATCCTCTTCAGCTGACATGCTCAATTTCATTAAAATTCAAATTTTACTACTGGCTGGATGCTAGTTACTTCTGGGTAGTCGTAATTTCAGGGGGGACTTGAAACGTTTAAAAGTTTTTTTTACATTAATTTTTTTTCGACTCAACGTGTCTGCTCAAAGATTGACGTTTTTTTTAGACGCTTTGGATTTGTTTTTAATAATAATTGAAAAATTTTCTCTCAAAAACCTTTCTACTGATTTTCAAAAAGAGTTATTCATAGAAAGACAGCTACATTTGGTCTCTTTTTGTTTTCCCTTTTGTCTACAGCCTTCGAAAAGGTCTGTGGGGTGAACATTTGACCGATATGTTTGATAATTCTTGGTGTTATCAAAAATTAACGTACTAAATCTGAAATTTTGGTTGCAACGAATAGATGGGATTTTAAAAGCTCCTCTCCATAAGCGGTTATGCCTAAGTTTTGTTACTCATAAAATTATGGCCTTCGGAATAGTCAAATTTTTAATTTTTTTGACTGTTTTTTGAATCTTTTAAAAAGTTTTCTTTTTCTAAATTTTTTGAATATATATAAAATATATCCTCTCATTTTCGAGATTTTGGGTTCAATCCAAAGAGCGGGTTGTGGAAAACTCCTTTGCATACAAGACTTGTTCGAAGTTTTTTTTTAAAAGAAAAAAGTAATGGGTTCGGAAAAGTCCAGGTTTGATTTTGACCGTTTTTTGAAATTATTTTGCTTGTCTCGAGAACTACCCTTCCAAACCTAGTTTTTTGGATCAATCGAAATAACAAATTGGATGAATCTCCCGCTGCATAAGCAGCTACTCCCTATTTTTCAAAACAAAAAGATGATTCTCGGAAATGTCAACTTCTGATTTATTGACCGTTTATTGATCAGATCTGAGATGAAAAATTCAATCAAAAGAAGTGGTTGCGAATTTTTTTTCCCGTAGAAGCGGTTGCTACTTAAGTTTTTGTAAGAGTAAGGTTAGATCTTCTGGAAAAATTCAAAAGTTTCCGCGCTTTTATTAGAGAAACAACTTAGGTTTAGTGGCAAAGTCCAATTTTTGAAATATCGCATTTCGTCCCCCATCAGTATAACAAATTCAAAAATATAGAATATGTACCGCTAGCTTTAGCTGAACCCTTGGTGTCCTTCATCAAGACAGACGAAAGTTTTTGTTCGCCTTGTTTTGTTCTTTTTTTTTCATTTTTTTCGACTTATGCTTTTTTATGATCGTTGTATCGCAAGTGGTGCAAAGCTCCGCTTCGTTTCTGTGTTTAAAATTAGTTTGGGTTTCTCTGAGTTTATTGGCTTCAGCTTGTGCTTCAGTGTTTGGGTGATTTTTAAAGAGTTGATGAACGTAGTTCAGACTCTTATATAGCCATTGATCGTTTTTTCATTTTTTATTCAGGAAAAGTCTGAAATTTTGTTCAGACTCAAATTTACTTTTTCTTGGTTTGACTTTTGATTTCTTCTTAAATTCAGCTGATTTATTTTGTTCAAAGGAAGGAAAACTTTGTTGGAAGGAACGAGCTTAAATTCAGCTCATTTAGTTTGTTGAAAGGAAGGCGACAAGGAAAGAAGTAAAAAAAAAACGTGATCGCTTTTTAATTTCAAAATTTTGAAATTATTTCTAAGATTTTCCATCGAAATGAAAAGTTTATCGTAGGCTCCAGTTTCCTCAAATTGTGTTACTTTCATCAATAAAGTGTCCATCTTAAATTGAAATTCGATATTTTCAAAAAAAACAAGGCTAGCATTTTTATCTGTTTCCTTGCGTTCATTGACTCTTCCAACTGGCTGTTGACTATGTTTTATGTATGCCAGTCAGTTTGACTCGGTGTTAAAGGTTCTGTTTAGTTTTAGAGCGAGCTAGCGATCGTAGTGTTATAGCACGAAGTCCCAATTTAAAACCGAACTGGCAAATGAAATAGCTCATTAGGTGGCAATTGGCTGCATAGGGTTGGCAATTTAAAAGCATGTATTCGAGACTCCATTTCTCCAGGTCGGCGGTTTGAAACCGGAACATAGTGTCAATTTTTTATGGATCGTTTTCGCTTTTATCTATTAGCTGCTGTGTCATCATTTGTTGACTGTTACCTAAGCTCATAAATCAAATTACCCATCGTAACTTTAATTTCCTGATAAAAATTTTGATCTTTTAAGTAAAAAAATTTACCTTTTTTTCGGATTTTTTGTGGCACACCGTGGCTGATCCTAAGTGATGATAAGCAGTGGGTTAAGCAAATATTTGAAGAATACATGTATTGTTTAAAAATAAAAAATATTACAGTAAAAAATGATAGCTTGAGAAAGAAGTGCTGCAGCTTTTATCTCACTTTCCATGCGTTTAGCGAAAAACCGAGACTACATGTACTGGTTATAGGAAAAAAATTGGTTATAGTAGGATGTTGCACTGTCAAAATGATTAAGAGTTCAAGAAAAAGTTGCTAGTAATTCGAAGTTTTGCTAGATTATCTCAGTAAATATTTTTGAAACGTTCACTTACATTAATTATAGGTGGGCCTGAATTGAAACTGAAAACGACCCATTTTTTAAAAAAAAAATGTTGTGCTCAATTCTAAACTGCAATGGGAATGAACTGCTAAAAAGGTAGAAATCACGTTACTCCATTTTTTCACCCAATTTTCACCCCTTTTTTAAAGGAAGTTGGGCGAAATTTATAAGAGCAAATAGCCCACAGCAGTTCTCGTGTTCATGTGCACATGTAAATTTGACGGTCGTGCAATTAGCATCCTAGAAGGAGATCGGTCGCAGACAAACACACAGAGACAAACTTCTTTCTTTTATCACATGAAGATTTTTGCCTTCTTAGAGCTACTGTTCCCCTTTTTCTCGCTGTTGTTTTCTACCCAGCTTTGTTTTTGTGTATAATTTTTTATTGAATATTGGGAGGTTACAAGAAAATATTAAAATGGGAAAATGTGGGTTTCAGGTGCTTCAAACTCAACCCCGGGAACGTATCAACATGTACTAGATTCCAAAATGGGCCTCAAATCCAGCCTCACCTCTTCCGGATCGACCAAAAAAGGCCAAGACGGATCAAATTTACCCACGGAGGAACCTCTCACAGTTCCTCCTGTTTTCGGAAGCACCTTATCAAATGCTATGAAATGGAACCATGCGTTGAAGGAATCGAGAAAACAGTTCACGTTGGATGGTTTAAACTCGATTTACGTGGACGAGTTTTGCGAAGTGTCATTATCAAACGTGCCATACTTTGTGCAGACTATGGTCCATTATGTCCATAACAATGGAGAAGTGGACGGTATTTATAGGCTGAGCGGGAGTAGCAGTGAGATTGCGACCATAGTTCAGATGATCGACTCTGGTTTTCATCATATCGACTTCTCTAATTTTGACATACACTCTACGAGTTCGACGCTCAAACAGGTTAGACCGTCATTTTGACCGTCCTTTTGATAAGCAAATGTATTTCTGTATTGCATCTGGATACTACACTTTTCCTTAACTTTGTTCACATTATTCGCACGTTAGAAGGTAAGTTTTTCAACTTGCAGAATAATAAATGCGAGGTCAATGACTGATTCTGCCCTATTGGCGCAGAGGTAACGCTATCGCGCCGAATGAGAAAGCTCAGAGTTTCGAGTCCGAATAACGCTTGTACTTCTGCGAACTGAAATTTTCGGATTATCTATTCTTCTTTCTTTTGGATTTGTTCTCGCATTGAGCTCTTATTCTGAAGCTAAGTGTACCTTATTCAAAGTTCCCTTAAAAGTGCGAGTCTCAAAGCGTTTCATAGCTCACCATTTTTAATCAGAAATTTCAATAATTTTTATGTTTCCGCATTGATTTTCATTCGAGACAACCGTATGAAAGTTTTGATAGATATTTGTTAAAAGGAAGGCATACTCCATTTTCGTACAGCAAAAAACGTGATCGATTTCTGGTTTCGAAAATGGGTTTTAATGTTCACCTTTCCCAAAGGAAAAAAATACCTATTGATCCAGTTTTTTCAAATTGGACTAATTTATCTAAAAAGCACAAGTCAGAAATTGATCTTGAGTCACAAACAGCTTGAATGACTCTAATTTTTTTGTTTGAAATTTGAAAGTTTTTGAAAGTCAGCTTTTTTTGTTTTATTGCGTTTATTATTCTTTTCCAATTGTGAGTTGGTTAGGTTGTTTGCATTCAGAGAATTTTTGTTACATTCGGGTCTCTAAGCGTTTTTTAGCTCTAAATATTCAGTGACGATAATTTTCATTTTTTTCCTCATTGATTTTCGTCCGAGGCAATCGCATGAAGTTTTTGATTGATTTTTTTTCGTGATCTATGCTGTACGCTCAGTGTTTTTTTTCTAGAGAACATTTGATATTTCAGTTGTACTGCAGAGGACGCGAAGATCCACTTAAAGCCCTATGCGTAAAGCATGCATACTTTCTTGTTAATAAGAATTTAATATTTACATCATGCCACTTTTATTTTTATAGCATACTGTATTTTTCCGACCACGTACTTTTCCGAATTTTTTGGCTAGGTTATGCTATGTTTGTGTTTTATTGCTAAAGATGTGAGGATCTGCTTCCCCTTATGCTTAAAGCAGGCTTTCGTGTTTTTAGCATTCTATTTTTACAGCATACCACATGTTTTCTAACTGAAAACTTTACTTCTCCTACCATGCAAGAACAGGCAAGACCACTTTTATTTTTACAGCATACTATATATTTCCGACCATAAAAAAACTAGTTACCAGAAAAAAACACCGCCTTGGGTTGAGTGAAAACTTCCAATATAGTTTGAAGCCTTTTTGGCTAGCTTGCTATGTTATTGAGAGTAATGAACGCAGTGAAGACTCTAATATAGGTCTTGGATGTTTTCTTAAAGTTTTTTTTTTCAGGAAAACGTCTTAACATTTGTTCACGCTCAATTTTGATTGTTCGCGGTTTGACATATGATTTTTTAATGTTAGAAGAAAAGCAAGTTACCATTTTTAAAAGGAAGGTATAATCCATTATCGAGCAGCAAAACTGTTAAGGTCACGAACAACGCGATCGACTTCTAATTTTGAAAGTATTTCAATGTTCAGCTTTCCCAGCGGACTACTGTTCCGACCATGCAATACCACGCAAAACCTTCTCAATAGAGTTTGAAACCTTTTCTGCTTCGTTTAGAATTGCCTGGAGGAGTAATGAGTTTCAGTTTCAACTAAAAGTGAATGGGTTATTGGATGTTTGATTACACTTAGACTTTTTCCCGTGCACAACTTTTTTTTTTACAAATCTGTAACAAATTGAACATGTTTATTGCTTAACCTTATCAGCTTTCATGCTCCTTCAAATGTGGTCTAGAGGTAACAAGGTTGCCTTTGAACCCTAAGTAGTGGGATTTGAGTTCCTGTTGGGCCTTGTTTTTTGTTCGGTTTTTATGAAAATGATTTTATTTCGGAAAAGCGAGAAGTTTCGATTTTCCACGAATTTTGTTCTTTGAAGTCCCAAAGCAATTTTCTAATCACTTCATGCTGTGGCTGAAATTCGTCCTGTTATTTCTTCAGTTTACCAACTTCGATTTTGAAAAAGTTTTTACGCTAATTTAACTAATTCAGGCAAGTTGTGGGGCAGACGTTTCAACTTTTAAAACTTGGTCGCTTGAATTTTTATGACAAGGTTTTTTATGGCTATTCAATGGTTTCGGAGCTTGCGAGCGTAATGTATAGGTATGAACGTTCTTTTTTTTACAACCTAACTCGCAAATATAATTGCTCATTTGTTGGCAGTTTTACTATGATCACGATCGTTGCATTTTTCATAATATCTGTTGTCTGCTTTTTATGTGGCTAGTGTTTGCCGATTGTTAAGCGTTCGTCGCTGAGAGGTTAGGGCGTGAGAATACTACTCTGTAGGTCGCAGGTTCGAATCTGTCGCGTGGCAGAATCTTCATATAATTCCAGGCTTATTTCTACTTTTTCTTATTTCTCTCTATGGAGTTGCCTTCTTGTGTTCTCGCTAGTGTTTGCGAAGCGCAGCTTCGCCTCTGTGTTAGAACTGTTATCACTATAGGGGTTGAGCTGATATTCAGTTTGATTTGAGAGCTTCGTTTCTGATCAATTTAATTTTTTTTAATGGTCGTCATGAAAGTCTGCTGCTTGTGCAACAACCATCTCTTTTTGTTTCACTTGACAATTTTTAAAACTTTTGCTTAACTCCATGACACTTTGATTTATCCATAAAGCTCTTTTCCACTCCCTCTCTTACCTTGCAATTTCAGTTCTGAAAAACTATTTCAACGTTGTCATAATGCAATGAAACTTGGTGAAGAGTTGTGCACATATTTGTTCTTCATGCCTTTAAGGTAATATTACGCGTTTAGGCATGATCTCACATAAAACAGTCTTTAAAATAGAAAATTTGAAACATGGGGGAGTGGAAAAGAGCCATTCATGACAGCAAATATTCATCCACTCTAATTTATGCATGACAGCAAATATTCATCCTTTTTGATTTATGCATGACAGCAAATATTCATCCTTTTTGATTTATGCATGACAGTGTACAACTCCATGGCAATTTGATTTTTTCTTGATTCCAAATATTTATCATTGGCATGTTGATTTGCAATCGTTCGAGCTTGTGCTATTCATCATACTAGTTTTTAATGCAAATTGATCCTGTCCAAGGGCGGATTTAGGTGGGGGGGCTGAAAAGGTTTCGACCTTCTCACCAACCAAAGGTTGCAACCTTTGATATTAATTTATGACATATTAATTTATGACATCCTCAAAACTTCTAAAAAGGCATTCGGCGGCAATATATACTAATTTTAAAGGGTAATCAAAAGTTTCATAAAGAAAATTTGAAAGCATCACTCAAACATTTATTGACAATAAAACTCTTACGGTTCATGAGCTGAGCTCTACGTGTATGATTAACTTAAATTTTGTTTTCGTTCTCTGAATCAACGACACCCGACATCTTTTTTGAATTCTATTTTTTCATTAAAAACTTGCGTTTATCATACCAGACATTCGAGTTCTCGGACATTTGATCTGCCATTCTGTAAAAATGAAAGAAAGTCATGCTCATTGACATATAGAGGTTCCAAGTTATTAAACCTGTTAATTGTCAATAATCTACTTCCTGAAAAAGTTGGGTTTATGTCGATTAATGAAGAACTTTTGTTAGTTCATAAGTTTAATGATAATTACATGGCAATAATGATCTAGTACATAGAATATTTCAATAAATTTTTCCCATAAAAATAACAAAATCGACACCGTTGATGAAATGCTATCAGAAGCTGATTTGAGGTTGCGAATCTATCCTGAAATTATGACTGTCTCATTCTTCTTTCTATAAAAAATTTTCAAAATACGCCCCCCTCGATAAAATCCTAGATCCGCCCCTGATCATGTCAATTAGTCCTTTCGAATAGGTGTTCGTTCTTCAGAAAATCTAATGAACAAAAGCATTGAATGTCAGGATGGTCATCAGCTGAAATATTTCCATGGTTTGATGTTTAACAAAAAAGGGAACCGATCACAGGTGAATTAAAGTTGAAAGCTGGAGACATTTGTGATTTAGCTTTGAAGCTGCGATCAAGTACCGATAAGCTCTTAGCCAAATACTTCATCGCGTAGTACAGACCTAGTATGGTGTTGCTACAAGTAGAATTAAGGTGGAATTGTGACGGAATGGCGAAGTAACTGTTCTTTTATTTTGAGATCTCAATTTGAGAAGATTTCTTTTGTTGGTTCAATGCTGTTTGTTTTGCATTGATAAATGGTGACGAATTAGTTTCGTTTGAATTGAGCAATCTACAATGTTGAGATTTAAATCAAATAAAGTGCCTCGAGTTCTAGTTTTGATGCGCTGCTATGGCTGCATGCTTTGATGAGCTTGCGTATTTTGACATCTATTTTTTGAAAGTGTTTTTCAAATAGATGTTTATGGGTTAGGTTAAATCGAGGTAAATCGCTGTTTCGACCTCCTTTCACCTTGTACGATTTTTTCCTGCGTGGTCGGGCACAATAAAAAGCTACCTCTTTTTTTCAAATTAATCTTTCAGTCGTTGTTCAGATAGTAAAAATAATTGATTTGACTGGCAATAAAAGTTTCTTTTTATAGCCTGTGGCTTTCTACAAGTTTCTGCAAGCTGATAAAAAAATGATTATCAATGGTTTTTTGTATCATGTCATTTTCATAAAACTATCGCATCAAAAAAGTAACCAAAAAGAAATTTTAAACCGTTTTTTTTAAATTATGCTATTTGAAAACTGATATGGTACGAAATTCGTCGACCAATTAAGTGTTCCTTTAGAAAAGTTAATTACTACCATTGTTCTTTTAGAACTCAGGGTTGGAGTAGCGACATTTTTTTTCTGGATGGTTTCTGTAGTCTTATATGAGGAAATATCTGATTAACTCTGTTCAAAGAATAAAAGAATGCTAGAGTCCCATCAAAGCGATTGCTTTTGGCACTTTGAAAAAATAGTTCTTCTACCTGTATTGTATAGAAAGAATGTACAATGGTCAATCAATGAAACAGCCCTGATTTCTGATTATTTTTTCTATGTCATAAAGGAAGAAGCATTTTGCACGGTAATGACAAAGTTACAACCGTACCATTTGGAATATTTTATCCATAAATTTTTGTCATGTATTTCTTTATAGATATATAATGCGCTTTTAATATTATGAAAACCATGCATTTAGTAAGCGCTTCATCTATAATGGCTTTTTTGGTAATAATTTTTAAAGAACACTGAATGCTTGCTTTTTAAGCATTATGTTTTTTAGGAAAGACGTCAAGTTTCGTCACGCTTAATGTTATCTTTTTTTGACCATTTAGTAGTTTGAGTTTTTTGGCTGTCCGTTCAAATTTATGTGCTAATTGCAAGACAATTTAGGGTCGATGAACGTAGTTCAGAATCTTATATAGGTTGCGATTATTTTTTCCCCGTTTTTCTCAGGAAAAGTCTTAGTTTGTTCAGGCTAAAATTTGGTTTTTTTTTTGGAGGTTTGACTTTTGATATTTTTTCATTCCGTCCATTTCCTTTGTTAAAAGGAAGGCAAACTCCACTACCGAACAGCAAAAGTGTAAAGGTCACAAAAACGTTTCGAACGTAGAATTCAATTTTCAGATTTCCCAGCCAAATGGAAAAACTTACCTATTGATCCAGTTTTCTCAAATTGTGTTAATTTAAAGAAGAAAGTGTCCATCATAAATTGTTCTAGAAATTCAAAGAGCTTGATAGGTATTTACTTTTTTTGGAACTTTGAACAAAAAAAATGAATCGGTGAGTTTAAATATTTCAGATTCTTTCCAAATAGCAAATGTTTTTGAGTAAATGGACGTATTCCAGACTCTTAAAATGTCAACATGAATTTTTCTAGAAATTCAAATAGCTTTATCGCCATCTATTTTTTTACTTTCAAATTCGAAAGCTCATATTTGTTCAAAAAATATCAGTATTTTTTTTCTGTTTACTTCCGTTTATTCACTGTTTTCCAAGGACGCAGTAAATACGCTTATATAGGTCTTTACCATTGCGATGAACAATGGTGTTGAAAGCGGGTACTAGCGGAATGACTGAAAATGGTGATGATTATCTCAACTTTCGTCAACGAACTGATAATTTTTGAGCATATCTGCATTTTAAATGCCTTTTCTATTCGAAATTTGTTTTTTTTTGTTGATTGTAAGTTTAACAATTTTCTTTTTAGTGTATCCGCTTTTTCTTAGCTTTTCTTCTCTTTATTTTGCTCTGAAGGTTCGGCTTATAATAAATTGGCTTAACAGGCCACTTTTTGAGTCGTTTGAGAAGCAAAAAAGTTTTGACTAAACATTTTTTAGAATTGTCGGCTATGTTACCGCTGTGTAAAAATTGTTTTCGATGCTTTTTAACATGTAATTTTTCTTTTTTTTAGCATATTATCTTGAAAGGAATTTTCATTCAAGGCAATGTATGAAAACTTTGGGTAGATCAATTATTTTGAAACATTTTGAAAAATGTTGAATTATTTTTTATGACTTTTTTCAGTGATTAGATGGTGATATTACGTTTTTAATTTATCCGAGGTAGTGCAAAGCTTTGCTATGCCTATGTTGGTGTTTTTTAAATAACTCATTGAGAAAAAAAAACAATTTTTATTTTTTTCATTTTTTCGAATCATCTGTAAGGAGTGATAGTCATTCGTTTTTGTAACGCAAGAAGTGCAAAGGTATGCTTTCTCTCTTTGTGATGTTTAAGAGTCGATGAGCATAAGGCAGTCTGTAATATAAGTCACAAGAATTTGTTTTTATTTGCAGGAGAAGTCTTTCAATTTGTTCAGTCTGAAATTTATTTTTCGCGGTTTGACTTTTGATTTACCTTCAAGTTCAGTTCATTTCCTTGTGAACTGTGAATAGTGCCATATAGGTCTTTATGATTTTTTGTTTTTTTGTTCGTTAAAAAGTCCTAAAATTTGTTCACTTTAAAATTTGCTTTTACGGAGTTCGACTTGATTTCTTTTTAAGTTCCCGTCGTTTGCTTTGTTAAATGAATGCAAACTCCACTATAGGACAGCGAGAATTTGAAGGTCACGGAAAACTTGATCGCCTTCTAGTTTCGCAACTGGAATTTAATTTTGAGATTTCCCACCGAAATAAAAATTTTACTTGTTCTCTCAAATTGACTTAATTTTGTCCAAAACTGCATATCATAAATTATCCTAGAAATTTAAAAGAGGCTGAAGGGCTTTTTTTTGAAATTCGAAAGTTGAGATTTTCTTAAAAAACAGGTCAGTAGTCTTCATTCTGGTTACCTGCGTTCATTGACTCTTTCCCAATGTCTGTTGGCTATGTTCTCTGTCTCCATTAAAAAACTGCCAAGGGCTTGCAAAATTTGATCTAAAGAATAACTATTCATCCAGTTCTTGTTCAGACCACTGAAAGTGGGCAGGATTTTCGTCTTCGGGTGGGTGATTTTTTCCTCGCAAAATTATACAACAAATAAGCATCATAATGTGTCGAGTTATATAATATATCAAAGCTCTTTGAGAATCAAAAATGTCAAAAAAATTCTCAGTTTGAGAAAAATTGGTTTGCAGTTTTAGCTGTTTAGTATAATTTCGAGCAAGTGGAGTGAGCGAATTGGTATTCTAATAGGGAAATCTTTTGTAAGACGTGCGTGAAAAAATCAGATTTACACCACCAAAGCTATTTTTTGTTATTCATTTTTTGAGTGCAACTGTAGTAGATCACGCCTAATTTACTAAGGTGCGAAGTCTTTGTCTGGTTCTTCTCGCCAGAGCACGCAAAATACGTTATAAATTTGAAAAAAAAAGATAAAAGTAATTTTTAAAATCTTTTTCATATTCTTTCTAAGGGCTACGCGTCTTTCCAATTAAACCTGTTTTTTTTACATTAGTGAGCTTGTGAGTAAAAAAAAAATTGTAACCTAACTCGCAAATAAAAGTGTTTACTTATTTGGTGGCACTTTTGCTATAATCCGATCTGTAGCTTTGGAGATTTCATAGCATCTGTTCTCTGCTTTTTTTGTGGCTAGTGTTTATGATTTATGAAGCGTCCGTGGCTGAGTGGTTAAGGTGAAACTCATAGTTAAGAGTAATGAACGTAGTGAAGACTCTTAAACAGGTATTGCTGATTTTTTTTCTGTTTTTTTTTTCAGGAAGAAGTATTAAAATATTAATGCACTTAGGTAGGTATGCACTTTTTGAGTTCACATGAAATTCATCTGCTGAAAGTGACGTAAATAGCACTCTCCAAATACGAATGTGGAAATGGCGCGAAAAAACGTGAACGATTTCTAGTTTCGAAAGTGGAATTTAATTTTTAGATTTCCAGCGGAATATTAGTTTTTCAACTTGGGTTAATGTTATCAAAAAAGCGCCAAGCATTAATTGTTCAGAATTTCAAAGATCTTAAACGGCAACTATTTTTTTTCTTATAAATTATTTTTCTTTGAAATTCGAAAGTGGAGATTTTTTCAACGAAGTCAGTGTTTTTTATGTTTACTTGCGTTCATTACTCTTTTCCGATCTTCGATTGGCTATGTTCTCTAGCTGAGTTTTATAGAGCTGCTTTTTGTCTTGTTTTCGCTAGTGTTTGCGAAGCACAGCTTCGCCACTGTGTCAAAAACTTAATTTTCAAATAGTTGTGGTGTCGTGATGAAATATTTAAGCTTCCTTTTATTTTTGATTCATCTAGCTATATAACTTTTTTGTACGATGAGTTTATGTGTTTTAGATGGGAGATTTTAAATAAACGGTACGGTACGGTAAGGTCAATGGTTCGAATCGGGTCAGGACTTGTTTTTTGGAAGCGGAAAATTATCCGCGCGTCAGGAAAATCTTTGTCGGACTTCTGTTTGTCTGCTTTTTCGTCGGCTTAGCTACCGCGGCAGCAAATTTGTCTAAAGTTTGGGCATTTTGTGTTACTCGAATTAAAAAAAACATTTCATTGTATTCCAATTTTGGGCAAGTAATTGAGTTCCAAGAACGGTTGCCTATTTTGTTGGTTTTTTCTTGATTTTTTTTGTGCTGTTCATTAAAAATTTTTGATAGTTGTTTTCTTTATAAATTCAACGAGTGTTCTGTGCATTTAGTGCAGTGGCAACACCCAGGCTTGTGATGACAAATCCCAGAAGTTCGATTTCAGTCGGGACCTGTTTTTTGTCGAAACTTAAATTTTTCGAATTTTCCTGACTTTCATGTCTGCTAATTTCTGTTCGTCTTAGATCCCACTGAAAGGTTCGGTTTCTTGTTTAACATTTTGAAAACTCAGTTAAGTTTTTATTGGTGCCGGTAATTTTGCGTAACAAATTTTTTCTCCTTTTCTGCCATTTTTATATTTTTTTTCGACAAAAAAAAACATTTTTTTTTTCTTTCAATTTTTGATTCGTCTTTTTATCTGCTGGTAATCATAGTAATACATTTTTGTATCTCAAGTTATGCGAACCTCCACTTCGCCTCTGTGTAAAAAAGTTACCCTTTAATCCAGTTTTCTCAAATTGGGGTAATTTTATCCAAAAAGAGTCAATTATAAATTGTTCTTGAAATTCAAAGTGCTTTCAGGCCATCTTTTTTTAGTTTGAAGTTTTTTTTTTAAGAAACAAGTCAGTATTTTTTTCGGTTTCCTTGCGGTCATGACGTCTGTTGGCTATGATTTTATTTGTACGTGCTTAAAAAGCAAACTTTTATCACGAGTTCATTTTGTTCCAAACCGTGGGCGGCAAAGTCATTCAAAAAACCTATTTACCTATTTTTTGCATTATCTTGCCAATTTTTTTTGCTTGTATTAAAAAAAAGTTCAAGAAAAATTATGTCAATTCAGTATTTGCGAAATGCAGCTCCCCCTATATGTATAATTTATGTTTCAGTTCTTCCGAGACTTATCAACTCCTTTAATTCCAATCGACAACTACAACTCATTCATGGCTCCATTCGACAAGTACCCCAGCCTCATACAAAACAAATCAAACAGTCGCTCTGACGTCATAAAGAGTACTGACAAAGAATCAAAAGTCACCGAGGCTGAATTGACGCAAACGCTAGACGAATTACAAGAGAACTTGTACCGGTTACCATTCTACCACTACCACACACTGAAGTTACTAATGCTTCATCTGAAAGTGTTTGTTTCGAAAAGTAGCGTAACGAGTATGGGTTTGTACAACTTGGCAATTATGTGGGCGCCAAATTTGCTATTTGACCCCTTTGAAAAAGAGTGCACAGATTATATCGAGATTGCAAAACGAGCCCAAGCAACCGCAGCCAAAAAAGGAAAGTTAATTGAACTTCTAATTAGTCATTCGAGTACGTTGTTCAACGACCATTTGCCAAAATCGATTTTGCAGAAAATCAACTCATTGGGCTGCGAAGACAAATTAAGAGGAGGCCAAACTAGTTATGAATCAGATCAGTTCGAAGTTATAACCAAAGGTGCTAATCATTTAAACCAAACTCTAACCTTGCCAAGAGTGCCCGGAAAAGATAGAATGAAGAAAGCTATCAGAAATTTGTTCAGTCCAAAAACCTTGATTTCTGATAGACAGAATCGTGATAGAAGCGCTTCGCTTGTTGGTGGTCGTAGTTTTCAAATTAACACTATCAGTGAGCCTACAAACTTCACTCCGAGACCACATATGCCCAGAGATGAACTTTCGATCGAATCGGGGCTATATGCGTCTATAAATGCAAACAACAACGAAGTGAAAAATTTGCACCCGAATGATAAATATGACTCATCTGATTTTCTCCAGAAAACGAGTGGTGGGAATCATTATATGTTCCCGAGTTCTGATTCGCACGACAAAACGGACGATGAATCGGTGAGTTCAAATATTTCCGGTTCTTTCAAATAGCGAATGTTTATAAGAGTCGATAAACGTATTTCAGACTCTTAAAAGTGTCAAACATCAATTTTTCTAGAAATTCAAATAGCTTTATCGCCATCTATTTTTTTTACTTTCAAATTCCAAAGTTCAGATTTGTTCAAAAAATATCAGTATTATTTTCTGTTCTGCTTTCATTCACTCTTTTCCAACTGTCTGTTGGCTATATTTTTTGTTTTTTTTTCCAAGAAAAATTCATAAAATTTGTTCACGCTCAATATTGGTTTTCACTATTTGAATTTTGATTTCTTGCGAAGTTAATTCATTTGTTAAAAAGAAGGTAAGTTCCACCATTGAACTGTTAAAGTGTAAAGGCCACAAAAAACGTGATCGACTTCTTATTTTCGAAATAGATTTTAGTTTTCAGATTTCTTAGCTTAATGAAAACTTAATCTATTGATGCAGTTTTCTCAAATTGAGTTAAATTTATCAAAAAAGTGTCAATGAATTTTTATTTTTGAAATTCAAGGAGCTTCAAGTCCATATATTTTTCACTTCGAAATTCGAAACTTTTTTTCTGTGTCCTTGCGTTCATTGACTCTTTTCCAACTGTCTGTTGGCCATTTTTTTTTGAAATTCGCATTTGAATGGATTGCAAAATTATATTTCAATTGAGCTTTAACAGCCTGAATAAGATTAGAAACCAAAATTGATAAACCTTCAAAGGTGTGATTTCTTAAGACTTAATTCATCTTGTTTTATATAATAGATAAGTTGGAAACAATGTCATGACAATTAGATACTTCAACTTAAATCTTTCATAAATTGAATAAGAGTGATTGAATAAGCTTGTTTAAAATTAGACCGTGGATTGACAGGTCGATAGCGACCTTGAGAGCCAATAGTAGATTAACAGCCTAGAATAGAATGACGTCATAGAACAACACATTTAAACAGCTCCGCACCACATTTCCCCCTCTAGGGAAAATTCAAATGGTACATTTGAATTTTTCTTGGAACAAGAATAACTATAACAGTACACTGAACTGCAGATAAAGAAAACTCCATAGAAAACAAGTATAGCACTAAGAGGAGTTTTAATAAATTTACTGAAATGAGATTAGATAAATGTACTGATAAATGAGTTTAAATGACTAGAGAGATTAAATGACGAAAGAGTTTAAATAACGAGAAAGTTTACTTTTCGGCACAACGCAAGAGGTTATCTGATGAGTTGATACTAGGGAATCGGGTAAACTTTCTACTAAAACCCCCGGCATAATTGGGAGAAACAACCCTGGATTACCCCACTTGAAAAACTGACTCCTGACTAGCCATGGCAAAGCGGACTTTTCTATCCGGTGATACTGGAGTTGGGGAGACGACAAAGAAGCGTGAACTACATTCACAGAATGTCTGATCGGGCTGCCATAGAATGTTGTCTGCTTTTTGCGACGAGATGATATACGTGATGAACTCGATGCTGAAAAAATATTCCCGTCTGGATCCGAACTAAAGCCTGATACCTCACGGGTGGGAGGGCCCGATGTTGCAAAATTGGAAGAAGAACACTCTTGAAATTTCGGGACAGACGACTTATCATCGGAGGAGATAGGTATCAGATCCGGTCAGGGGAGAAGCTTATCTTTTGTTGGAGAAGGTGTCTTCGATTTAATACTGATAGGTACCTCCGCTACTTGATTTCTCGATGTCGACGAAGAAGCCGTCAAATCTATCACCGGAGTAGAATCCTGAGTAATAGGAATAGCCTGAATTCCTGGGGCCTCCGAGACCGACTTATTCCCCGATTTGGGCAATGGCAATTTGGGACGCGTCGGCGTAGAAGAAGATAAAATAGTCGGAAGTTGAGGACGAGCGGGTACAGAGACAGTTTTGGCCGTAGTGCGAGATCTGGAACTAGTCGGCTTTAAGGGTCGATTATCTGCCGGTGACGTAGACGACGACGAAGACACAATGGGGCGCTTTTGCCCCTTTTTGATAGACGTTGCTTGTTTGCCTGAAAAACTTAGACCCGTTGACTTAAGGCGTACAGCAAGATGATTTCTTCTTATCACTTTATCTTTTTCAGTAATATATGTAGACCCAGTAATACTCACTATTTTACCCTTAAAAGGTTTGAAAAGTGCCCGACTAGATTTCCTATTAAGAAACTTCAGAAAAATTTCAACTTTACTTGGTTCATTCAAAACTAAATAATCCAAGTTACGTTTTGGTTGGGACGGACGAATTTGTTCAGCCGGCATCTGGTTCCGGAATCTGAGCGTCCCCGCGGATAAATTAGAGCGAAGTGTAGCTGCAAGTACTTGATTTCGCTCTGTCAGCGTCCTAAGGGCTTTGACACCCTCTTGGTGTGAGAGAGATTTCTTCAATGTCAACCATTGATTCGCAGAAGGGGCCAGACTCTTCAGCGCACGATAATGGGTGTGTCAGCAACTGATTCTTTGGTCACCCAAAGTAAGGTGACACTGTCGGACTAGACTGCCCTTTCTTAACCAGCTTGATTCGAGGTCGGCTGTCACACTGCTCCCGACGCTGTTCCGTGGTGAGTAAATCGCGCTCCAATTGTTGATTATCTAAATTAACGCGTGTAGACAATCGCTTTGCCGCAAGCGATAACTCCGTATTCGGGGGACGACCAAAATGTAGTTCCAAAGGTGAAACCCCAGTGACAGAATTTTTAGTGACCCAAATATCCTCCACTATATGCCTAAGCGTATCTTGTATATTTGAAAAATCAGGACTCAATCGAGAAGCCCTCAAACGACGCTTAATAGTTTGGATGGAACGTTTCACCAGACCACAGCCACGATGATCACCAACCGGGCAAAAATATTGGGCAATATTTTTATCTTTACAAAAGGATTGAACTAATTTGTTTTTAAAACCCGAATACTGGTCAGTTTTGATAGACTTTGGGATACTATGCTGTTGAATATATGATTTAAGGAACTTAATTATCTTCTTACCCCCCGTAGAACGTGTAATCATAGCCGACGGATATTTAGAACACCGGTCGATCTCGACCAAGATATAAATACTGTTACCATCAGAATCGAGTAGAGGACCCGCATAGTCGAGCTGAAGCTCTTCATTAGGACCAGATAGAAGGGGTAAAGGTTTGGTGGAATCAAACGAAGCGTTAGCTTTCAGTTTCTTACCAAACTTCGTGCATTGAGGACAGTCTTTGCACAGTTGAACAATATCCCGGTGCATACGAGGCCACCATATATACTGAGCTGCATCCACCATGGCAAGCTGACCCGCATGCGACCTGTGTAGACGAGCAAGTAGAGGTTTCCGGAGACAATTGGGAATAGCAATCCTATTATCTACGACAACACAGCCATCAACTACCGCTGCACAATGCCAAAAGGATTTTACGTATGAGTCAATACGACAAAATCCTTCATAATCGCGATTAATCAGTGCCCGTTTCATCAGTCGGAGACTAGGGTCTTCATCAGTAAGTTCCGAAAGCGCGTCGGAGTCCAGAATGCCCCCAATCCTGATAAAGATTTTTGATCCGGGGCGACATCTGAGGATTTCAAAATTTTCAGGCTGAACTGGCTGTACTGTACGACCCACTGGTCCAGCCTTCCTGAGCCTCTTCGATCGGAAATTCCTAAGAATTCGGGCGTACTGGCCTTTCAACGCCAACCCACGCTGCAGAGAAGTCGACCGCTTGGGGCGCACTGCCCCCGCGCGAAACCGCGGCCGAGCACGATCTGATGAGAACCATTGTTGGTTTACCGGAATAAATTGATTCAGTAACTGCTCGAAGCTATCATTAGCATTAGTGTCCATCACAACAGTCTGAAAAGGAAAAGCACCAAATAACACGAATACACACTAGTAAATCCAGGAATAGGAAGTAATATCCCACAATCACAAATTGGCAGATAATTGGCAGATTGGCAGATAATTTGGAACACTCAAGAGTGGCAGATAATTTGGGACACATGCTGTGAAAGTGACAATTAAAGAATTAAGCCAGCTCAAAGCTGATTGGATAGAATTTTGACAATTAATTCTGACGCCCTCTAGTGGAGAAGTAACAACCGAGTTGAATTCATTAAATAATTCGGTATAACCGAAATTGAAAGAACAGTCGCCCTCTAGCGATTTTGTGCGCTGAGATGTAACTTGAATGTCCAAATTATTGACGCTCTCAGCCGACTGAATGCCATTGTCCTTGGATGAATACGGTGCTAAATCCAACGAATTATCCTGAATGGGACAAAAAGCCCGAGGTTGACAATAACTGACTGACTCGATTGAATTGATCGAAGCAGATAAAGTGGGTACTTGGTTGTCCCCCGACATAGCGGATAATCCGTCTGATAAGTCTTCTGATAAAGAACAATCCCGAACCCAACAATCCAAGAAATCGCAAGCATCGAAAAATCGACTAATACACTTAACCACATATTGTTCATCAAAACTACTCGGCCGTGGTGCCTCAAAAGTTGGGAAACGTGATAAATAATCCACTATTCCCAGTTTACAACCGGAAATATGGAAAATATCGAAGTCAAAAGGCAATAGTCTATCAGCCCATCTAGTTAAACGTTTTTGATGGGTTTTATTACCCCTATTGCTCTTAAGAGCCGAAATAATCGCTTTATGATCAGTGAGAACAACAAAATGATTACCCAATAGATAATTGCGGAAATACTCACATGACCACACAATAGCGAGAAGCTCCAATTCGTTTGTACTAAACTTCTTTTCCTGGTCATTGAGGAAACGCGAAGCAAATGCAATTGGAACCCAAACGTCCCCTTCTACTTCCTGCTCTAAAGCCGCTCCCAGACCACTATGACAAGCATCACATTTCACTCGATTATTCCGATTTTGGTCATAATGAAACATCTTTGTGATATTCGCGATCAATTGTAAAATATTCACGAAAGCCGATTGTTGATCCTCCCCCCACTCAAACTTGCTTTTATTACTCGCTTTCAACGAAGGGCGGAGTTGGTCCGAAAAGACCTGAAGATTCGGCAGAAATCGTTGTAAATGGTTGAGAATGCCCATAAAGGATCGAAGTTGTTTTAACGACTTAGGAGGCTCAAGAGCTAATACCGCATCAATTTTGGAACGTTTCGGCCTATAGCCTTCTGAATCAATATCATAACCCAACTAAGACAGCTGATTCATCGAGAAGTCGCATTTCGATTATTTCAGGGCAAAACCTTCTTCATCCAATCGGGTGAACACTTTATCCACAAGAATATTGTGATCAACTACTGATCCTTTCGAAACTATTAGAATATCGTCCAGGAAACGGAAAACTCCCGTTAAACCCTAAAGAGTATTATCCATTGCTTTTTGGAACTCTTTAGGTATATCTGTTAGCCCATAAAAACCGGTTTTAAACCGGACGTGCCGGTTTGTTCCCCATAAACTATATTAAAGTTGCACTGACGACTAACTTCATCACTGAGCGGGATCTGACTAAATGCATATTTCAAATCCAGTGACGTAAACCAAACATCGCCGACTTTGTCCGACGTTATGATCTGGGCTGCTGAGTTCAACAATTCCAATAAATTCTGCATTTGATATCGGTTCTTATGTATCTGATCATTCATGGGATTTGCATCCATAGCTAATTTACAAGAACGATCCTTCTTAGCCGTAATCACTATCGGAGATATGGAATGTTCACTTGTACATTTGTTAAGCTTGACAATGTGACCTTCTTGAATCAACTTCTGACTTTCGACGCTAACTTTATCTTGAATATGCACTGGAAACCGTCTTCCTTTTTCTTGAATCGGAACGAGTGGTGACTTGAATGTAGCGAAAACTTGATGATTTTTGGCTCTACCAATGCGAGAAAATACGTGTTGATACCTCTGTTAAAAATGTAATTTCCAGGATTCCGACGTCTCATTCGTGTTTGATTGGGATACTTCGCCCACCAAAGGCCTTTCTGGTCTAACTTGAGTAGTTCTCACCCCCAACTGGGACTGCAAATCTAAACCTAATAGACAACGCGTACGATTTTCCGAGATGAGAAATTTTGCAGACTTCACATCGATGACGACACATCGAATGACGACACATCAGTGACGACACATCGACTATCAGTGTTCCCATCAGTTCAATTCTTTTCCTATTATAGTCCACATATACCGTGTCTATTGGACATTTCTGTTCACTAAAAACTTTGGCTGAAGGTACCGACTTCACAATATATAAACGGCTGTCCTCTTATTTACAAAAGGAAGCAGGACTTCCGGTATCCACTGTAGCTTTGAAAAACGTTTTTCCACAACGAAGTGTTTTCTGAATACAACGTAATTTGCCCGCAGCAGCATTAACCACTTCCAATTTCTTCACTGACTCAATAGAATTTCTCGACTCTTCTACCGCAACCGACAACACTGCAAATTCTGATTAACTATCGGACATGATGAAATTACAATTTTCTTCTGCAGTTTCATCTGATTCGACATCTACATTCGCTACATTTTTGGAATTGCAACATTTGGCGAAATGTCCCTTCGTACTACAATTCCGACAAGTTACATTTCTGGCCGGACAGCTTTGTTTATGATTTGCTGAAAACCTGTTTCCGCAGAAGTAACATGATTTCGCTTTCTCCGTGTTAGCATTACCTTTCGATTTATTATTTGGAGCTCGGTTGATTCTATCTGACAGTTTCTTCCCATGAACAGAAAATGTCAATTCCTGTTTGATACGTGTATTCTGAACCGAACTGGATCCTGAATGGGAAAAACTGCCCATCGTAGACGAACTTCCGAATTGCTTTTGCAGATCAGTGGCAGTTTGGGGTCCTTTTTCCTGCAATAACACTGATTTCAACGTTTCTTCAGGAGTGGCCCCCAGGCGAATACAGAGTTCTCTTTGAATATCCTTGTACCTCATTTTGGCAATAAAGATATCCCTCACGACTTCTTTCTCCTGATCGATCGTCCAACCACACAGGGCAGCTTGGCCCGTAAGTCGCAAATAGAAAGCTTTCAAACTTTCTCGATCAGTATGCACGGCATTATAAATTTGCAGACGTTCGATTATGTAGTTTTTCTCCTTTCTAAAGAGAAGAACACAGAATTCATGAAATTCTTGAAACGATATTGCACTGAGGTCCGCATGCGGATAACTCTGGAGGAACCTTTTCCTTCCTTCTGAGCCAAGAGAAAAGAATAAACGAGATTTAATTCAGTGCTCGACTTCGTAATACTATACACGTGGTGCTACTCTGGGGCCTTTCGCCCGGCGTTCCTCATTCATCTCAGCCACTCTGCGGGCAGCTGCATCATTTCTTGCTATACGATTCGCTATTGCCACCGCATCTTCATCAATCCCCACAGCCTCTGGTTTCGGAACAGGATCATCGTGTACCACACCTGGTGGTTTCAGTAGCTCACGAGGATCACACCTTTCTCTCAAGGTGATTGCCAAAATGAACTGGCCTATCCAGGAATCCCAGCTACTAGGTGGATCCGCTGTTGGTTAATGCCAGAATACATGAACACCTAACAGGTCAGTCCGGTCGTCTGAGACCGGAACTGCTGGCTGCGCCATGTGATTTCTTAAGGAATAAGAGATCTGTACAAGACTTAATTCATCTTGTTTTATATAATAGATAAGTTGTAAACAATGTCATGACAATTAGATACTTCAACTTAAATCTTTCATAAATTGAATAAGAGTGATTGAATAAGCTTGTTTAAAATTAGACCGTGGATTGACATGTCGATAGCGACCTTGAGAGCCAATAGTAGATTAACAGCCTAGAATAGAATGACGTCATAGAACAACACATTTAAACAGCACCGCACCACAAAAGGAAAGAAAATATTATCTTCCCAAACTCAATTTTATTTAGTATCGAACTTATTATTATCGTCAGTCACTTCAACTTTTTAGCTAAAAGATTCTTCTCAATCGATAACATCAGCCATTTTGCTCATCGCTTTGTTAATGATCTTAAGGGGCATTTGGAATATTTCCTCTTCGATTTATTTTAATGCGACCTTTGATTTCAAGCACCACATTGCAAATAGTGAAAGCTTCTTCTACTCTTGGAGTTTTCTGTATTCAAGTTTCCCTTTCAGATACATGCGTGAAACTTATAATTATCGCATGCTAATCGGTACATATTATGCCAATAGACCGGTCCCCATAAATAGGGTTTGATCATATGTTTTAGGCCAGTGACGTGAGTGAATGTCACTCAGACGATTCGACAATTGGACAATTCGTAGATGACAAGTTAAAGAGGAGGAAGAATGCAACGACAGCAACCACAAGTCTGACAACGCCAAGTCAATCTGTCCCGTCGAAGTTCCAAAATGCAGAATTACATATTTACTCACAGGTTCATTTGGTTTTCTGAAAACATAGTTTTTTGATAATCAGTGGTGTTTTCCTAGAGCAATGACTCTTTCATACGTTAATTCCGTTTTGTTTTAAACTCCATATTTTGCAACTAGCTCACAATGGTGCTCACTGATAGGTTTTTTCTTCATTTTATTAGTTGCTAAATTAAGAACATCTAAAATTCTAGCCAGGAAAAGAAACAAAAAGTTTGAAAATTGCGTAATAAGTGACACAGCGTGTTTCCCCTGAAAAGCTGCATAGAGTATATCCGACTATTCTTTCATTCGTGGATAAATTGGTAACTTCCCAAATGGCATTATTTTCAATTTTAATGGTAATTCAAACACTTTTTTATCAATGAATAATTCTCCTTTGTATCAGAAACGAAAACATGTGAGTATAAAAATGCGCTTTAAGTTCATTTTAAAATCTGATTCACCCCCCAATGTTTAAGCGTTTTCTGGTAAAAATTTTGGTCTCGAGTTTAATTTGATTTTGCAGATTCAGAAAGAAGGCGGTTTGAACTCGAAATCGAACTCGAACTTTGCGTCAACCACATTCACAGTTGGCTCCTCCTCTGCCAACCCCACCTGGGAAACGAGAAGTGAGAAAGGAGGAAGGGGGGACACCTCATCTTTGTCCTTCATTCAGCAGTTCAACAGTGGGGGGTTCATTAGAGGCAGTGAGATATGTGACGATATCCCCTTCATAGATGCAGTCAGTCCAGTTAGCCCCGCTACCTCGGGTAAGTTATTGATAGTTATAATTAATTAATGATAATAAATATAGCAGGTATAATTGATGTTATCTAGTTAAGTTCCCTCACCTCATAAGTAGCGGATGTCAAATGATTGATGTATCCGCCTCTAAGTCCAAAGGTTGGTAGTTCGTGGCCCTACCTATTGCTTGTGGACATGAAAACACTCCGCCCTGAAAAATGAATGCATGCAGGTTTCACCCTGGGTTAAAAGCGTCTTTCTATTGATAGCTAAGCAGTTCGTTTGCCTTTGTTTCTCTGGTGGATCTCAAATCCTATTTTGAGAAAACGAGAGAAAGTCACTCGTGAAATATTCGGAAATCTGAAAACATGACATTCGTTGAGATTCACATCAATTCATAGAGTAGCGGTTTTGAAATTTTTTTTTCCTCAGTTGAAAATAGACTCCAGATTTAACTTAAATTTCAGGGGTGATATTTATCCGTGTCATTGGACGTACAAATTATAAATGCGATTATTAAAATGTTGATTTTGTAGGAGCAGGAAAGGATAGCGCGTGGTCTTCCAAAGACTCAGTTTTGAGCTCATCAGCCTATCAGAAATCACCTTTGCTCATTCTATCATCCAATCAAAATCAGTATGTGGCGCAGGACTTAGACAACTTCAGATCGGATCTAGTGTACGAACCAAAGAATCGGAATTTAAAATTACCCACGGCCGGTGTGATGAATTTACACGGAAGCTGCATGTCGTCAAATGCGAAAGCACCCTATAAAAGGTACTTCAGCGCCGGAACCCCGTCAAGTCCAAACAGTGGAAATCACGTGTTCAGTAAATCGAGACCAGAAACACCCGCGCATTCAGCTGGCGCAGGTTCGAATCTGAGCAGGACCCCCGATCAACCGGGTGGATCGCCGGCGATGTTGAGAAGTCCGGCGGTTGGAATGCGACCGATAAAAGACTCGTCGATGAATAATTTGACTGATAAGTATAGCACTAACTGCTCGTTCGACTCTGGTGTGGAGAATAATGCGTCATCTAATGACGAGTTATAAGCGACAATCAGTAGAGTATAATTGTTCGACCTAAAAAACCGCAGTATTAATTGATGAAGCTTTTTAGTCGCGACTCAACCATTTTTTTGATTGTCGGAACTGATGTTTCGTTCAAATTTGCAGATTGTTTTTCGTTTGAAAAATCTTGAATTGTGGTTTTATTCGGTGTTTTTGGGCATACGATTGCATTTTGTCACAATTCACTAAGCATTGAGAAAATCTGGTTGAGTTTTGGCTGATTCTTTTATGGTTTTGCTTGTGTATTACTTGCTCGTTGAAATGCGATGTTCTAATTTAGGAGAAAGATTTGAAATCAAATTAGTCGCTGATCACTTTTTCAAATTGATTGTGCTTTCACTGAAAAATGAACAACATTTGACACCATTTGAGCTTCGAACTGCGATGATGCGGATCTAGTAACACATCTAATTAAAAACTCTGACGAATTAAACATTTTCAAAAAGTAAATAACTTTAAACAATCATGCCAAAAAACCGTCACCGTCTGCATAATGGCACAATGATTTAAGATCTCGACGCTTGTGCAGTATTTGTGGCTTTATTATTTGTTGTCCTCGTTAAGATATTTATGAAGATAAATTGTCTGTCTTCGTGATAATTACTATCAAAATGGTCGTCTTTAGATTAATGGAATTGTAATTCTCATCGAAATGTGTGATTTCATAATTTTACTACAATTAGATTATATTTTTGTATAGTCATTTGATATTACTCAGATTTACGCATCCATATATTTTTATTTTACAATTAATTTATTGAATAAAATTAAAACTTGAACGAAGCTTTTTTCAAGTCAACGTAGTGAAGACATTTTAAAAGGTCGTGATGATTAGGAATCCATCGGCGTAGTTCAGACTCTTATATAGGTTGAGATGCGTGTTTTTCCCCGTTTTTTTTCAGGAAAAGTCTTGAAATTTGTTCAGGCCATGAATGTAGTGAATACTCTTAAATAGGTCTTGGCGATATGTTTGTTTTGTTTGTTTTTGAAGGAACTTTTAAATTTACTGACGCTAAAATCTGATTTGTTGACGCTAAAATCTGATTTATTGATACTAAAATCTGATTTGTTGACGCTAAAATCTGTAATTGTCACGAAAACGTGGTCGGGCTCTTGTTAAGAAAGTGGAGTGTAATAAATAGGTTTCCCAGCGGAATCAAAAAAATATATATTGATCAACTTTTTTGCAATCTGGCCAACTTTATGCAGAAAGTACTATCATAAATTGTTTTAGAAATTCGAAGAGTTTTAAGGCATAAAAATTTTTTAAGGGCATACAAAACCATCAGTCTTACAAAGTTTTAATTTGTTGAACTAATGCTTTTCGCCGTTTAACCGCCGTTTTAGTTTTAACCACCAGCTGAATTAGGAGGACCCCTGCCGACTCAAAGGATCCCTCCTTTGTACTATTTTGAGATATCCCCTTTTGACTGCCTGACTCTAAAATTTTTCTGAAGGCGCTTTCGGCGCCAATATATACTAATTTTTAGGGGTGAGCGCGCGCGCCGAAAAAACGGCTTTTTTGGTAAAATGTTTTTATAAAAAGTGCCTAAAAACGCTATTTTTGGCCTGTTTTTTTTTTCAAAATTTATCCTGCGGCACAAACATGGTTGCCAAAACAGTGTCTTTTTAGTGCTTTGGGAGAGCTCGAAAAATCCTTTTTGTCCCTCTCGAGAAAATCCTAGATCCGCCCTTGCGAATGTTTATACAGTATCAATAGGTGTCAATGAACGTATTTCAGACTTTTATAAAGGTCGCGCTGCTTTTTTTTTCAGAAAATTCCTAAATTTCTTCAAGCTCAAATTTACTTTTTCGTAGTAAAGTTCAGTTCATTTTCTTAGTTCAAAGGAAGGCAAACTTCAATATCGAACCTTGAATGTGTATAACTCACCAAAAACCTGATTGACTTCTACTTTCGCCTTCTACTTTAATTTTCAGACTTCCAAGCGAAATAAAAGTTTTTTTTTGAGTTTTCTGAAAATGGGTTGTTTTTATCAAAAAAGTGCCAGTCATAAGATGCTCTGGAAGTTATCGATCGTTGTTTTCGTCCTACGAAACAAGGAGACAACGCTTTTTCAAGTCAGGTTTGATCACACTAGTACTGAAAAAAGTAATTCATTTTAATTTAATTGAAATATATAAATAAAAAAACCTGCAGGCTCATGCAAATATTCAGTCTTTTTTCCATCAAAAAAAAAGATATAGAAAATAATATACATTGATATGCTTTTTGTTTGCTTAATTATGTAAAACAATGATTACGTGAGTGTTAAAAGTTTGTTCTGGCAAAATTTTCGACAAAACTGTATAAAAAACCAAATAGATTTTAACTCAATTGCGAAAGAGGTGCAACCTATTGCTTGGCTCTTCTCCTTGACAATGCAAGCTGATATCATGTTTTGAAGGGTTATTGTTTTTTTTTCTCAAAACCGAAGTTGGAAGATAGGTTTTTTTTTACTTTTCTCATGATGAATCTCTCCTAATTGTATGATAATCATTTGGTATTCATCATCATCATCATCATCACATATGTTATTTCGACACCAATTATTCCTCCCATTATGAGCACTGTTTGTACATCCAAGTTTTTCATATCATTGAGAACCTGATTGCTACAAAGGGTTGAGAGAGTTCCACCAGGGCACGAAACTGTCACGAAATCTGGCAGAAAAATCCCATAAACTAGCGATGATCCCAAAACAGCATATGTCACTCTCTTGATCTTATCATATGTATTGATCTAATACAAGCATATGTATTGATGTAAAATCTTCCAAAATAAACAGTTACACATTGCCTTAGTTTTTATCGTCTACAAATTTTGTTCACTGATTTCAGCACTTGTCGCACGTATAAAATGAATTTGAGTTTCGGGGTGTGAGTTTTGAGTTTCTTGAGTTCACTTCAAAATCATTTACTTCTGTTTCGTATTTTAATTTTGAGAATTCACAGTGCAACGAATGTTTTATCTAGTGACGCATTTTCTCTAAATGGGTTGGTTTTTGAAAATTGTCAATGATTATCGAAAATTGAAGACTTTTAGCACGATTTTCGAAACCGCTTGTTCGTTGTGTTTTGACTTGAGCGCAGAAGCGGATTTAGGGGGGGTAGGTAATGCGAACGCCGCCCCCCCCCCCCCCCCCCCCCCTCCCCCCCCCCCCCTCCTCAGGGATTCAATCACATTGCCGACACAAAGGGTCCCCCTTTTATAATGTTCTGAGATATCAATTTGTGGTGACAGACCCTAAAATTTTTCTAAAGGCGCCTTTGGCGCCGATATATACTAACGTTGACGGGGGAGAGCGCCCGAAGAAACGCGATTTTTTGGTCAAAATTTTCCAAAAAGTGCCTGAAAACGTTTTTTTTTTGCCTTTTTTAAAAGTTTTGTCTGCGGCGCAGAAAATTTGGCCTAAGTAGGGTCTTTTTAATGCTTCGCGAGAGCTCGGAAAATCAATTTGGTCGACCTAAAAAAAGGTTGGCATTTTTTTTTTGAAAATCCGCCCACCCCCCTCAAGAAAATCCTAGATCCGCCCCTGCTTGAGCGTATAAAATGTCTTGTTTTTTTCTTTTTAAACTGTTTTGCATGATTTCCTAATCACTTGAGTTCGTCGTACTTATTTTTCGCGCGTTCCTGTGCTATTTTTTTTATATATTGTATGCACGTGATGCGAACCTCAGTTTGACACATTAGAAAGTTGTGAAACGCTTGCGGCCATATTGTGCGCCGTTTGATATAATATGGAAAAGACACCGATCAAACAGTTGTTCGAGTAGTTTGGGCACATATGATATACTAGACGTCTCGTATCATGGTGCAGCCCTGAATGTTCGCACTCACTGCTTTTTAAGGCCTTTTAAGGTCTATCGCGCGTTAATTGTCAAAAATTGGCCATATTAGCTAATTTAATTCCCCATCACCTACCTAAAAATATAATCACAGGTTAAATGTCTTTGCAAATTTGAGCTCAGGACAACAATATCTTTGGATTATTATTTTTAAAATGGTCAAAAATTGCTAGTCGAAAGGTTGAAATTTGTTTGGAAAAAAAACCCCTGGGTCAATTAAATACTCTTTGAAAAATTCAAGAACGGTATTTTTATTCAAAGTCATAAAATTTTTCCAAATTGTTTTTTTTTTCATATTCAATGGCAATTTGCTCTCATTTGTTGAGAGACTAGTGCCTCGTTTGCTGGTCTTTGCTGAAGTGAATAATTTGCTTTGCGGTCTGCTTGGCGTAACAAGGAATATGTTTCCTTCTATAACTTCTTCTAAGCTGATTTTTTTGGCTCCGTTTTCTCTCTGATTAATGTTCTACTGAAGACACTGATTCAGCTGAAAAATATCGAATCAAAACTGCTAGAATAATTGTTCCGACTTTCGATACGGAAGTAACGGAATATTTGTGCTCGGGGTGGGTTTTTTCTTCAGACAAATTTCTAACGAGCCATTTTTGACGGAATTTTATAAATATTTTTTAAAATTAATGTTGTCTTGATCTCAAGTTTGAAAAGATATTTCACCTGTGATTCTTTTTTTTAAATAAAGTTATGGGGCTTTAAAGATTGCCATTGTGGCCAATTTGAGACAATTAACGCGCGATATATTTCGTGCTAACGCGTAAGCGGAGATTTAATCCGCCTTAGAAATCGTTCCAAGTTGGTGGTTGAATGAAGCTTATTTGCCATAATTGATTTGTTAAAATGAGCGAAATCTATCCTTTTGTACTTTATATGGCGTGTGGGGTGGTGAAAAACCTTCATTATTTTATTCAACTTATATTTTTTATTGAACAATTTTTTTCTAAATTTTTTTGAAAATTAGTGAAAAGAGTCGTTAAAAGAAACCTAATAAAATCTCTTTAAAAAGCAAAATTATCCAAAGTGTTAGCAGAAAAAGTTTTTCCAAAATATTAGCAGTCTAAAAATCAGTCTTGAAAGATTTTTAAAACATTAAAATTGGTTGTATTTAGGATACTCTATTCTTGCCCGAGTGGACAGAAAATGATAGTCATAAAATTCCATATATATTGTTCATACATTAAGAAAAATTACGACTCGCAATCTCTCATACATGGTATTTGGATTACAATCAATTGTCCATTAAGACATTTTGTACACATGCGAGCTATGTGACCAGCATTTTACCATAAAAGTAAGAAAAACAGAATAATACCTTCGCTTTAAATGGTTTCGCTCATCTTGAAGTACGAAAACCGATTAGTTTCTAAATGGAAAAAATGCCATACATCATATGGCAAAACTTTTACATATAATGTGAACATGAAATAATTGAAGAATCGGAAGTTCTATAGAGTTATTAAACAATCAATTAACTTTTCGTAAATGGTTAGAAAACTAGAGTCACGGGAATTAAAACTTCTAACTTCTTTGATTTTAACGTGAGAGCGAATGATTTTTTTTCCACTTTTTGTCGCTTTCTTATTTTGTTTTGACGGCATTAAAGAGTCACTTTATCATACTAGTTCCTGAGGCTTTCTTGCTGTGGAAACATTCACGCAAATAGTATAAGGAATTTAAATAAGGTTCGACAATTTTTAGAGAGAATACATCTGATTATAAGAATTTTAAGCTCGGATCTGGGTAGTCATTTTCTTCTTTTCTGTCTTACAGCGATCACCAACGCTCGAAATTTTGAGATGTTTTTAACGCCGGAGCTACTAATTTTTTCAGTTCTTGCAGATTTTAGGCGGACACAAATTAAGTCGAGAGAGCTCATAAGCTACCCGAAGAACCAATTCGAACCCACAAATTCAACTTTTTTATTTTAGTTGCGACAATCTTCGCTCAAGAAGAGCAACTTCGAAACTAGTCAAGATTATCTGGTTTTTTGACGCATTTGAAACAAGTTTTCTCAAATTTAAGCCCGCTTAAGTCGTCCCAAACAGTTTTCATTTTTTCATTGAAATCAAAAAACTTTAAAATCTATGTCATGTGACTGTATAAAATTAACAAATCGTTTTTTGGATGTTTTTGACAAGTTATGGGTAATTTATCATTGGATATAAGTTCATTTCTTCCTTATTAAAACGAATAACATTTAATTCTGTTTTTGGAAAAACAGTCGTAGTGATTTTCTTTTTTGTGTGTGTGTTGTTTGGTGAACTAAGTGTAGACTACCTAATAGACAAAAACTTACAATGGTTGTTTTTAAAACCGTTCCTTCATAACATCATACGTTTTTTAATGGAAGAATGCTTTTTTTAAGACTCGCTTCTATGGTCGTATATTTCTATTATGATAAAATGTTAGTAATTGAGGTCTCATATATGAAAACTGTGTGACTTGCGTTTTTTATTAGAAAAAACGTATCGATTTGATAAAACATTTTTGGCGTTTAGATATTAACCGGGCAGGTTCGGATCTCATCAACCAATTAGAGAAAATCAACCCGATAGGAGCCATGCGTAATTTTTTGCCAATTTTCTTGCCGCAAATATTTGACAAAATGACCAAAAAACCTCAGACTGTTTGTCTGAAAACTCAGACTGTGTGGCCAAAAATTACAATAGAACGAGACTGCTCGTATCAGACCCTGAATGCTTCGACTGCCTTTTTAGGTCTATGGAGCAGTAATAACATGAAAAATCCCTTCTAGTAACAAATCAATTATAACATATAAGCTTCCTTCAACCAATTTGGGACCATTTCTGAGACGGATTAAATCTCCGCTTACGCGAAATTGCCCAAAAATGGCAACCTTTAAACTTCAGGAAAAATGTCTTTCAAACTTAAGCTCAGGACAACAATACCTTTTGAATGATATGAAAAAATTTGTCAAAAATGGCTAGTTAAAAAGTCGAAAATTATCTGAAGAAAAAACACGAGGAGCACTAATTTTCCGTTACTTTCGTAGCTAACTGTTTGCAATCTGTTTTCTACTGTTATTATACTGACTTTTAAACCACTAATTTATTCTGTCTTTGTATGTATTTGAAAACTTTTTCAATGAAACCAAACGAAAAAATGGCGTGTTCTTTTTCTTCACTCTATTTTGCTTAATTAACTCTCAGGAAGATTTTTCTCGTTTCTTACTAATGCTTTTAGGCAAAAGTTGACCAGTTTCCTTTCTAAACTGACACTGACTAGGTGCCCACATGGTCTGGTACCATAAACAACGACCACAAAATTGTTGGATTTTGTAAAATAATTTCCCATACTTATGACTGGGCTGGTCAAAATTGAATCAGATCTGATCATACATGCTATTAATTCTGGCTAATAGGATTGTAAGAGAAACTGATTTAATAACAAACTTGACTAGTTCAAACGCCATAGATGATGTTGAAAAGATACTTTTTTTGTAACAACAAAATAAGTTTTAAAATGTGTTCACAATAATGAAAATTTACGGCTTTTCGTCATGAATATGGATCTCATTTTCAGATTTTATTTTCGACTTAGATGCGCCTAAGTTGCAATTGAATTTCCTATGTGTTTTAAGTTTCTATGGTAAAAAATGGATCTCAATTCGTTTCATAGTTTATATTCGGTTTATTTGCGCCTAAGTTGCTATTGACTTCGTAGGTTGTTTTTCGGTGTTTGTCTAATGAAACCAGGGGCGGATTTAGGGGGGGGGGGGGGGGCGGGGGGCGGACGCCCTCTCCCCTCAGGGATTCGACCCCCTGCCGGCCCAAAGGGTCCCCCCTTTGATACTTTTTAATGAATCCATTTTTGGCCTACCGACCCTAAAATTTTTCTAAGGGCGCCTTTGGCGCCAATATTAACTATTTTTTAAGGGGAAGCGCCCGCCAAAAAAAACGCGATTTTTTTGTCAAAATTTTTCAAAAAGTGCCCAAAAACGGCTTTTTTGACTGTTTTTCAAAAATTTGCCTGCGGCGCACAAAATTTTGCCAAAATAGGGGCAAAACAATGCTTTGGGAGAGCTCGAAAAATCAATTTGGTCGACCTAAAAAAAAAAAAGCCGTCAAAATTTTCGAAAATTTTTTGAAAATCCGCCCCCCTCGAGAAAATCCTAGATCCGCCCCTGAATGAAACGTTAAGATTTCATTGGTTTCCAGGCACCCTTAACTTTAGGTCTCGTTAACTATCCAGTCGTCCCCTTATTGCAATAGTTTTAAAATTTTAAGGTAAAAAATTACCGATTCTTAATCGTTAAATTAGTTTTGCATCATGGGGTTTGCAACTCGACACTTGGTACATCAGTTGGTCCAAGGAGTGATTAACAAGATTCCTGGTTTTCGCATGATGTAGAAAATCAGGTTAAAAATGATATCTCAAAATTTTCTGTCATAAAAAAGTTTCTCGTTGAGCAGAAATAGTTTTTAGAGAAAGTCGGAACGTTTTTTTGATTAATTTTGAAAGTCTACCCCTCTTAAACTTTGTTGGGCTACAAGAGGCTCTTCATGATGTTTTGTTTGCAATTGATCTGCTAGATTTGGCGTAACTTTTGAGAAACTACAAAGTCCCGTGTTTGGGTTTGATTTTGGGCCCAAATTCTGCAAAACAAAATCAACAAAATTGATTCCTTGAAAATGTCGTCATCGTTTGTTCTTTACAACCCAGTTTGGGAAAAAAAGCTTTGTAAACTTCAAGTTACATTATTTTAGCCCGGTTTCTTTAAGTTAGAAACGTAGTACCTGAATTGCATGCAGAATTCGTGCGATTCAGGAAATCTTTTAATTTATCTTTTAATGTATCTTTTACTGTACCTTTAAATTTGAAAAAATTTAGTATCTTGACACTTTTTGGACGTTTCAATGGTTTTTTTTTACTTTATTTTGATATGAAAAATACCAGTGAGCATCCAGAGAGATAACGAAAACGTCCAACTTTATGGCTGGCTCTGGTCTGAATTGAACTTCATTTCGCGAACCCAGCTGGTCTATGAATGGCAGCTGAACCTGTCTTATTCATTCCTTCATATATCTCATAGAGACTTGACGCCCACGCTTCAGGTCTGGTACACCTCTGATATATATCTATGCGCACATTTTTCACAGACCTGCCCAGTTATTCCTAAGGTCTGATCAATCAAAAACCATAGACCATAGAAACACAACTGCCCATAGTCTGTAGCAAATTTGATCAAATTTGAAAAAAAAATAGATGAACAGATATGATTATTTAGAGCGATTCAGGATTAGGGAAGCTCTGAGTCAGAGATGTGCATTTTGGAACGATACATGGGACATATCCATCTCATTGGAAGATTTTGGTAAATTTTCTAGCTTTTTCTAAAAATTGTAATTTTATCTTATTGTTTCGTTTTCCTAACGAAAGTAACGGAATATTTGTGCTCGGCGTGGTTTTTTTCTTCAGACAAGTTTCTACTTTTTAATTAGCCAATTTTGACCGATTTTTTTTGTATCGTTGAAAAGGTATCGTTGTCCTGAGCTGAAGTTTTAAAAGATATTTCACCTGTGATCATTTACTGGTACTTTTCTTGAATCTTCATTGCGCCTCCCAATAGAGCACAATAGATTAATAGCATTAAGACCAGCATTTGCTTTGGAATGAATTTAAATATAAATGTTCTGTTGTGAAGGACTGGAACTTCCAACTTAGAACCAAAATGTAGAGTGCTAGTTGCCAATCGGTAAATGGCTGAGATTGGCTAAACTTTGAAACTCGACATCCAAATCAATTTCATTTGTTTACTTTTTCGGCAAACTCAGTTTGTACATTTTAAGTGTTGTTTCTAATGCAGTTGAAAAAAGTAAATAAGTTTAAATGCAGAAAAGTCTGGCAGCTGCCAAATTAGATGCAAGCTTTTCGATTGAAGCAGTTTTTGCATCAATAAGCAATGAAAACCAGCCATAAATTTCCCTCAAACATGTAGCATAATTACCTGCACGCCGGAAATAGCAGACAAATTAAAATCTCCAATAAAACACGGATCACAGAATTTCTGGTTTCAGTTTCGTCTTATTTTCAATCAACGTTGTATACGATTGTGATTTTTTGATCAAATAACGAGCTGCTTTAAATGTCATTATTTACAATTGGTTACCTTTTATGAGAGTTCATTGATTTTATCGTAAACTAAGCGGTTATTTTTCAAATCTAGCGCAAACGTTTTCCCGAGTTTGGTATCATTTGTGAATCATTTTCTTTCCTTAAAACAGGGAGAGGTTTACCTCATCAAATTTTGACCGATCAACACTTAATTCTTTCTAAACGCGCCTTGGCGCCAATATATATTAAGTTTGAGTGCTTTCCAAAAAATCCCCAAAAAGTACGGCTTTTTGGTCTGTTCTCTATTCAAAAACTGTTTTTGGCGCTTGGAAATTCATTTTAGTTGACCCAAAGGAAGAAAAAACTTCCGGAACGTTTTTAAAAATTCAACTCGCTAAAATGCAAATCACTTATGGTGCAACAATGCTCCGAATTTAAGAAAAAAATGTTTAGAAAATTTTTCAAAAATCCAACTATTATCCCCCTTCCTCCAACCTCCCCCCTTCCCCCTTCCACCGATAAAACCCTGACTCAAAGTCTCCTAAAAACTGATTTCTATGCAAACATTCTCAAAGCACCATTGCATTTTATTTTATATGCTATTTGCTCTTTTTTAAGTTTATGGATCATATATGAAGCCATGATTCATTTTCACCTGTGCAAAAATCAGCATGGTTGATTTTTCACGCAGCTGGTCTACAATTGAAAACTACTTCACAAATGATTAAATTTGTTCATGACATAATAATTGCCAGTCTGTCATGATTTTTTAAGTTTCTGGCAAGCTCAGTTTAATTAATTTACTGCGAGTCAAGCAGACAGTTTATTCTTTTTTTGATTTACATGTACGTTTTTTACATGTTTTTAAACCATTTTTTATCAATTTAAAACAAAAAAAAATGGTTTGTTAAAAAAATCTATTAAATTAAATCAGTGAATTTATTCAATTTCTGAGTTTTTGTTCCTGTTACATTCAATAGCAAATATTTACAAACTATGCATATATATATTTTTCATTTTTAGTCGCACGCAAAAGTAGCGTTTTTGATGTTTTTTTTAATTCAAAGTAGTCTTTGAAAATTATTCTTACACGACTGAAAATGCGGTATAGCGTCTTGGCAAAGCTGATGAGCTTGTTATTGAATCTGAGTTTATAGACTCAAAACGTATCATTTGACTGCAAAAACAAGAAACGTAAGACCACCGCTCTTTTTTAATGTCTTCAAGTACAGTTTTACCGTATTACAAAGTTCGTTCAAGTTAGAATAAAATAACGCTTTACTTTTTCAACAGTGGTGTCAAATCAACATTATTGATCTCGTCTGTGCATTTTGCGAGTACTTTGTTTCAACTTATTTATCACATTTTGCTCTGCAATTTTAGTTTTCAAACTCCATTTGGGTGTCGCAAAACTCGAGTCAATTAAGAGTTTTGGGTCTCACGTCGCTTCTTACAACCTACTTTATCCTTCTCGAAAAAAGAATCGTTCTAGTTTATAGAATCCTTGGCTTTCCTTATCCAGCAAAAAAAAATTTAGCCCATAATTTGCCTTTTTGGTTTTTTAAAAGTTTACCTCGGCATGACAAATGAGAAAACCAATTTATCTGTTCACGCTTGGATAAACTATCTGAGCCAGGGAAACAAAGCGATAGCCGACAAAGCCGAAAACAACAAAGATGACACGAACATTGAAACAGAAACGAAGCATAGAACGAAGAGCCGGGAAGATCCTCCGAAGTCGGCTCGAAGACCTCGGATTCGTTCGGCTAGCAGTCGGAATTTTTCACAAGAAGCCAAAATTGCACTTCAAGATTTGGGTTTTGAAACAGACGAAGGTAAATCGAACGTGGGTAATTCAAGAGCCGTATCACCGGCACAATTTTTTGCCCCGTCAGAACCCGAAGATTCGCCTCGGCAAAATATCGTAGACGACTTAAATACCAGCCGAAACTCAGTGCCAAAAAGCGACACAGATAGATCCAAATCGATAAACACGACACGTAGCAAAACGAATGATCAACTGAGTTCGAATCGTGAACACTCGATGCCGCCTCCGCTTTCGGACAGAGAACGAATTTACGTTCCGCTGGAGGCGAGTTACAGATCGGAATTGCGAAAAATAACGAGCCGAATGGGAGTCGAACTCGATACTTTCAACTCGATAAACTGCCCTCATATGCTGAAAACGCGACAAGGTGTTTCGTCATCACCAACAACCCCGTTTCGGAAAAGCTCAATTTCGTCAATCACCGGGAAAAATCGAACGCCACAAATTTACGCCAATTTGCCTTCCTGCACGAGATGTCGACAGCAATACTTTTCAGCTTGTTTACAAAATAAACCGACAAATCCGAAGTACCCAATCGTCGATCCGACTTACAGAAGTACGACTTCGGCGCCGAGAAATGTTCTCGCGTTCAATACGAGCGTGCCTCGGCGATCGTTTGTTGATGTTTTGCCGAGCGGGAAACAAGCCGACGCCAACAATGTGTTCAACAGATCACAATCGGCGTCGCCGGCCAGACGATTCCAGCGTTCGGAAACGAGAGCCGACGTCTCAACTAGGAAACACTCCACAAATTTCCGAACGCCGAATCAAACCAAACTCGTAGAGGGCGAAAATCGACAGTTGTCACCATTAAAATATCAACAAAACGCAAACAGCAAACATCGAACAACAGTTATTACAAAGAAAAACATCAACAATCAACCGGCTACTCCGAAACAACTCAGCCCAATTATTCAACGAAAAACATCGGCTAAAAGTGGCCAAGCGAAGACCAAAAAGTCAAACGAGGATGTGGTTGACAATGGAAAAATTTTCCCAAATAGTTCTACTAGCAGAAAGTTCGACAAAACGAATGCAAAATTAGATGAAATTGAGCGATTGAAGCTGCGAAATGACAAATCAAAAGGTTTTAGTTCTGCCAAACAAAGTAATGATCGGTTAAAAGTTAAATCAGTTATTTATGACCGGAGATTTGAGGAGTGGAAACGGCCTTGGGAAGAAAACGGAGAAAACGAGGAATATATAGTTGAAGAAATTCCAGAGGAACTTAAGAAACAATCTGTGACTAAATGCAAAGAGTGGCTTGCTCTTTGGTTTTCAACTCAAAGCTAATAACTTGATTAATTAATAAAATCAATGAAGTAAATCATGATTCTTGCCGCATTTTTTTTTCGAAAAAATTTATAGATCGTAGAAAAAAACAGCGTTGGTTTGCAAAAAGCACAAAATATTCAGATTTTAAAATTTTTTTTGAAAAAACGACCTTTTGGAAAAAAAAACTTATTTCATCATTTTTTCGTCAAATTTCTTCATTAATTTTTCTTCAAAATAGATAAATTTTCTTTGAATCTCCTTAACAAGTATGTCCCCTTCAAGAAACAGAGGTATATTTTACTAGATTAAGTTGAACGAAATATCGACCAATCTGAATGCAGCAACTTTTGATATCTCAAAAAAGAACGTTTTGTGCTAATTTACTGCTAGGTGGTGGCAATTCTTCGATAAATACCACAGGGGTGATGGCGATTGTTACGTAGAAGGTTTCAATTTTTGTGCGTATTGGTGAGCGAGTAAAACTCATCTTATAACATAAGGACAATGGCTTTTTACTTCGTTTTTTTTCCACAAAAAACGAAAAAAAATAAACAGGTTGAATCCAATTCGTAAGTTAATACGAGATATTTTTCGGGAAGTAATTCCGAAAATCTACATTACTGAAAATTCTAATCGATCATAGCACCCAACAAATTATAGTTTAAAACTCAATGCAAGCTCTTAAGACAATCGTTTTTATCTTGAGAAAAGTTGTTCTTGACTATTAGTCAGACTTATCAAGTTTGAAAAAAGTTAAAGAGAAAAAACGGTAAAACACGTTCAAATGGAGCTAAAGCTCCTCGGGTTTGCATTTATAAAGATAAGAGTATAGGAGACTTCGTACCCGCACCAAACCTGTCTGCTAATTTTGGCAGTACATTAGCTTATACCGCTCGGCCAAAGTGAATTGCATATAGACAACTTTAATCCAATCATTATACAGTTTACTTTCATGCATTCATACTATCAAGCACACACTTTTTTTGCGCTGCACGGTTAGATGGCGATCAACACTTCGGTTCGCAACCAACTTGTCTTTAACATGGTCCTATTTAGGACCTAAAACGTGCGATGATTGTTCATCATTACATTGTTCTTCAATGGATGATGGTGTCTCACTGACTTCGGGTTTCATTGCTAGAGTTGCTTACAGTTTTACTCAGAAACTTAGTAAAAAAATCTTAATATGTGTATTTTGACGAAATCACAACTGATTTAGTTTGCTTGCTGAATAATTTTGATTGAATCCTAGTAATCATCCATATAAAACTTTTCGGTAACCACTGATGCTGCTTCAAGACATGTGGAAAAATTACAACTTGCCGTATTTTGCAAAGCAAAAGTCGTGCATGACGGTGAATCTTGGAAACCGAATATATAGCGAGTGTATCGATTGACTATCATATCTTTTGTGAGATCCTCCTGCCACTTGCTTTCATCAAATACGGGACTCCTACCTGGAAAAACATAACTGCTATATCTGAAGAGACGGCGTGCTTGTACTGTCCGAGGCGCAACGGTGCAAATACCAATTTTTTGAGTAGGTCTAGAGCCAACAATAGAAATTGAAATAAGGATATGTCATGAAATTTGTGTCACCATTAAAAACTCGGGGCACCTCACCCGGTTTATTTGAATTTATTAGTGGGGGGTGAGGAAGATACCACTCGCAATCAGCTCGCGAACGTGGGTCATACCACTCGCGATCATCTCGCGAACGTGGATCATATAGAGTGAGCAAGCGATGAGTAGTATTTTTTTTGGTAAACTGACCTTGTTATCAGCCCAAAGCATAAGCACGATTTATCTTACATAATCGTGAAATGTTTCTGATTTGAGGATGACTGAAGCGTATTTTTCGGCGGCAGAACGGGCATTCCATTTCATACAAAATCCTGTCTGGTCAGTTAATGAAACATCTTGAACAACAAACCGAGTAATGTCTGAGAAAACTATGGTTATTTGGTGGTACCTAAACCTGCAAAGAAAAAAACCCAAGTCGAAAACAATCTATAAAACCAAATTTCTGTTTCTTGTTGTCGCTCAAACAAAATTGTACGTTTGAGGAGTCTTGAGCTGTTTGGACAAAGAATATATATAAATGAAATTTTTCAAAAAAAATTGCTTTTTTGTTGACTAGTGGATATAAGGAAAACGCCACGCCCAGAACTCAAGGATTTGATCATTTTTTTGCTGGAATATCTGGCTCAGAAAATTGTAAACTCTAACGCTTCTAGCATCGGTTCATGACGTATTAGGTCGCAAATTTTTCAGCTTTTCGGATGTCTGCTTTTTGATTGATCATTTTTTGTAACCATGGTTAAAAACAATTGCCGATGTCTAACGATACAATTGATCATTAGAACGATAATTAACGACAAGGTTAATCCAGTGTCATTCGAGACAGTCGATATAAAAAAGAGAAGGACGAAAACTTAAAGTGCTCGCCCTAGGTTTCCCAAACCCATCTCTCGTTTTATTTTGGTCGAGCTAAGAACCGATTTTTAAAAATGAGCACCTCGATCCAGGTTACGAAATCTGCGATTTAGGTCAAACAACGCTTGCATGTAATTTATGCCTTTTTTGAATGCCTAGATGCCATAATTTCTACGCTTGGTTGCTCATTGCATCTTCTCTGTAAACCCAATCAACCGCAACTTGTAAGGATTAGCGATGAGTAAGATCCGTGGTTATTTATGAGCCGATCAATATAGAACTATAAAATAGGTTTTAGATCGAAAAAAATCATAGTGATGAAGAAAACTTTTTTTGAGAACGAAGAAAAATGAGGAAGCTCCATGGCTTTCTATCTCAGGAAAAGAAAAGTGAGTACCATTCGAAAAATCAGAAGAAAATGTAGTTCGATTGGGTCCCGCGCTCAGTAAAAACAGAAAATAGTCAATTATAATACAAATAAAAGGATACTTTTACCAAATTTATAATCAGTTATGAGCGCTAAGCTTAGGTGTCAAAATGATTTGTAATATATTATAATGATAAAAAATTTTAGTGACATTATAATAAATTAAAATCAAATTAAAAATGATTAAGTTTTTCTAAAACTCTCTAGTAGTATATAAAAATATATAATAATCTCATATTAGTTGAAAGGTTCCCGCCTAATACATTTTCCACATAAACCAAGAAATTAAAAATTAAAAACGTTATAACTTTGAATTGATTTGAAAACTGCTGAAACAATTTTTAACTTTTCCACGTTTTACATTTTCCATATAAGCAATTCGGATGCAACGTTGAAAACAAAACCGGCAAACAAAAGGATTATAATTGATTATAATGAATTTTTTTGAACAAAATATTTGAATTGGAAATGGGATGAAAACAATCGATTATATTTTATTAGAATCGATTGCAATTGTTTCGAAAAAAGGATGAATTGAAACCGATTGGAGTCGATTAAAATTTATTTTTTTTTGCTTTTAGAAAAAGAGATTATAATCAATTATTAGTTGATTAAAATCAACTTTTGTTCTCAATTTCAGTAATGCTGGTACTAAAATCATAATACAATCGATTATTAACGCTTGAAACTGTATTCTGGTAAGAAACGAACACCAAAATGCCTACAATAATTTAGAAATTTTTTGTTTACTGCTAGAGTAAATATGAATATTTGTTGGTTGATTTTTCTCTTTTTTGTAAATTTTACAAGAAGGTATCAAAAATTTTGCATTACAAACCCTATTTTACCCAGGATTATGCTGTCAATAAAACAAAAAAGATGGTGTGACTTTTTTGGTTTATTTTTCTCTTTTTTATAGGTTTTCTAACTTAAATATCCTAAAAACACTAATTCAGGTCTCAGTGTTTTGCTTAAACAAACTTTAATGTTTTAAGTTTAAGCTACCATTACCACAAACAAAATAATTGTAAAAAGTATTTTTTTTTCTTTTCCGTCTAATTAAAAAAACATGTATCCTGGCATTGGATAGCTGCGCTTTCTGCGGCAAAAAACGGTTTCTCATGGTTGGTTGATGAAACACTCCAACTTTTGCGGCTACTTTCATTCCAATTTCAAACTTTTGACTTCCGCAGTTTTATTTTAGTCTACATAGTCAGGTCTAAAAATGTTTTTCTTTTTGTAGATCAATTTAAAAGCTGCTGCAGTTTCTTCGGTGCGGCTAACAAACAAACTATATAAAAAAAAATAAAAGATTGAAAACGACAATTGAGTTTTTTTCTCAGAAATGATTGCTGGATGTAAACATAAAAAAATATAACAAATAAACATGAAAAGCTGAGCCTTAAAACTTTACAAAGTTTCGACCTGTTGCCGCAAAAATATTTCCATTACTGTATAAAATTTTTAGAACCTTGGATAGAACTTGACTGAAGTTTTAATACTAAACAAAATCAACACGTACAATATTTGAATAAAGAGCGTTTTCTAACAGTAAAATTCACTAGACTGTAAGGTTTTAGAGAATTCGGGTCTTATGCGTTAAACGGCCCAAAAATCAAAATGGAAGCAAAATGAAAACTAAAACTGAAACTGATCCTGATTGGCTAATATTAGCCAATCAAATTCGAGCAACTAGGTCAACCATTTCGATTGATACTGAGAACTTCAAACAGACAGACAGTAATTGTATGTTGATTACGTGTTTTCAATTTGAAATAAAATTCTGACTATTTTCTTAATTTTGGGTCGTTTAACGCATAATACCCGAGATTTCAATTTAAGAGAAAAACTTCAAATATATATTTAAAAGCTTATCGCTAAACTACAGAGATCTGTATATCTTTATTAATAATCTGGCAAAATTAATTGACTAGCAAAACGTTGAAATTGCACAGAATAGGTTATTACAACATCGTTTAATTCTGAAAAAGCTGACACGCTATCAATAGGGAAAAGTATCTACAATAGACTTTATAGAACTATACTGCAACTAAAAGAGTTTAATTGTGAGAATCCTTTTGAATGGTAATCGCCTTCAACTACATTCTTCTAGGTGCATTATTATAAACACATTTGAAAACTACGAGTTTATTTTTCTGAATACTCTTTGTGTATATTGAAAACAAAAACAAAATTCACTTCTATAAAAACTGACAATAACGTAAAGTTTTTAGGAATTTTGGTTTTTCGCTTCAAAAACAAGAATTTTGGTTTTTCACTTCAATAAATGAGAGAAAACTCAGGGCTACTTGGAGAGCAACAAACTTGTTTTTCCAAAATCCTTTTAAATGCATTGCAATTACCTTATATTTGCAAATATTTTTAGGTAAAAAGGGTTGCCACTTTGTGCAAGTAGCACTGAAAGTCCCGACGCTTTCAAAGAAAAATGCAAACAAAGTTTTTCTTTTTCTTCGAATATTTTTGAGTGTGGCTTGATGAAAGCGGATAAAAACAGTAAGTAATTCAGGTTTAATTGACAATAGGCATAAAAGTTTTCAAAAAAATATTAACTAACAAAACAAAATGAAAACCAGAGCGATTTTTTTTTCTAGTTTGCATGAGTTTTTTTTTCAGTTTATGGTCAAGGAAAATGGTCAAGTTTTAACGTTTAATGAAGCGTTAAAACTAGTTCGTTAATTAAAATCAAATTTTTTCAGTCTGAACGGTCAATTTTCCTAACGAAGATTACTTACTCGATAGCTTTACTCGCTCGAAATTAGGCCAAAACTCGAAAACCAATTTTCTCGATACTAGCCCATTTTTGGAAACGTTCGACACGAAGACAACTTTTTTATAGCAAATTAAAGGGCTTCAATATGATACATAACTCAACCTATTCAGATGATTATTTGCGGTATCTGAGTTTGCGTGGAAAACGAAAAAGTAGGAAAAATTTAAAACAGACTCGATAACAAAATTCTCTCTATTTTCAATGGTTTGAACAAACCTTTTGAGTTTTAACACTGATTAGAAATTTCCCAAAAGTTAGGAAAAACATTTCTTCCTTTTTTTGAAACTTAAAAAATAAACATGTACTTCAATTGCAACATAGAGGGTTATCTTCTACACTAAAGCTTACTATTTCATTTCTTCAAGATTGATGTGATGGTTCATTTTTTTTTCAAAACTGACCGAATCTGACCAATTCTGCCTTTCAGCAAAATTCCTGTAATTTGTTTATTTCATTCTTGTTCCCTGTCCTGTAAAATGGACCAATTTTGAGCAATCATTGGGTCTCATTTGTTCTGCTTGTTTCCCTGGGGAATGAAATATTAGCTTTCTAATGGGTTTGACTACTGGGGAGTCAAATGTCATTTAGAATAGAGTTGCAAAACGAGTCGAACTTTCAAATAGCCGACTTTTTTCTTCGTGTTTATTTGATATATTTCTTTGTTAAAGAAATATGTCTAAGGAATGATTGCATTTACAAACAATCAACTGTATAATTTAAACTGCGCGCTTTTAAACTTACTTTTCGTTATAAACGGGCTTATTTTCGGAAATTAATCTGCTAAAAACACATATTACATTTCCTATTGTAATTTTTTTGAATTCAACATTGTGTAGGTATCGGAGTATTGTTTTAGTTTCGTAGCAAGAATAACAAGTTTTTTCTTTCTGTCTTTTTCATTTCTTTTTTCGTTAATCTAAAATGTCAGGGGTATTTAAAAAAAAATGGAGAATCACAAGTATTTTTAAAATAAACTTCTAAAAATAACTCAATTTATACGCAAGGCCCGTTCTGCCAGCCGATAGCTTTAATGAGATTTCAGGCATGCAAATTACTATATTGAGTTCTAAAGTCAAACAACCGAAAAAAAAAGAGTGGTCGATTGCTACTGATTAAAATCTGAAGCGTATCAAAATTGATTAGAAAGCTACTTCAAATGCCCTCAGTTGTACTACTTTTCAGCGTTCTTTCAATACGGTCTTCATTTTGTTACTTATAATCCCAAAATTCATTCTAGGTTTTTTTATCTGAGCATTTTAAAATTTTTACTATTATATTGCGTAATTTCTTATGAACATTTTTTTGCCCGGAATACCATAACTTTTTTGTACAATTGCGTCAGTCATTTTTTGAATAATTGCGTTTTTAAACTAGCGGTAATTTTGGCATCCTAAATAATCCGCAACCATAATTGTATATATTTACATGTTTTACCTGCAGCAATATAAGTAGACTGTTTTCGCACTTATCAGCTAATAAAAAATGCCAGACGTGTATTTTCGAGCCAACAAAGGTAAATCGATATGCCTGAAATTTCCATTCTGCCCATTATTTGAAAATGAATATATCTCCCAATTGATTACCCAGTCAAACATTACTCTTTTGAAGCAGCCAAATTAAATATTCGTTCTGCTCGAAGCATTCGTATTTTTGAGTGGGATTGAAACTTACAATAAAATTTTTTTAATAATAGTATAACAAATTTTTACAGAGCAAAATCTGTAGTGTTTAAAAATTAACAAAGAAAAAATAGAACAAACTCTGAGCACTAATCCGTACCGTTTAAATTTTCAATCAATCAATATATTTCCGAAGAATATTTTGACATGAAATGTTGCATTCGAGTTCAAAACTACATTGATTTCTTTTCTTTTAACATTGATTTATTTCAATAAGCCGTTCTTTCGTTTTCTCTCCAGAATATGTTTTCTTATTTTTCTCAATTTCAAATTTGATGTTTTTCTTTGCTTGAGTCTTAATTTAGTTTACCCGAAACCTGTAAGTTGAGGTTAGCAATAGCTTTGAAACGCTCCTAATTCTAACACATAATCGGCCCTTATAATTCTCGGAAAATGTCAAATTTTGCAATTAGGCCAATTTTGCTGTGTTTGTGCTATTTGAATAATGTCAAACCAATTCAACTCAAACTGCAACAACCTTTGCCAACAATCGCCAAAAATAGTTAGGTGTTGGAGTTTTAATCCAGTTAGCAAAAATTTGAGTTGAACTCTATTAAGCAAAAACTCAAAAATCCGGGCTATAGTGCTATTCAAACTATTATAAAAAAATTTGTTGGAGAAAGAATAGGAAAATCTGCAAAATTCTCGCCATATCAGCAAGAAATCAAAATCATACAAGAATTTTACAAAAATATCACAAAGTTTTGACTTCTTTGAAATGCAGATCGGAATGCAATGTCTTGCAAGGCTTCCTGTTAAATATTATAAAATTTTGCTATCCGAACTGCAGTTTAGAAAACTTCAAAATCTTGAAAAAATTTTGAAAGATATCCTTTTAAACATTTTAAAAAGGTTTTACGGCTACAGTTTATTTGATTTTACTAGTACAATTGATTGGTAGCCTAATGTCTACATTACGCATCATATGTTTTCTCTGTTTGTAATAAACTGGTCTGAGTTAGTCTATTGGTTACGAATCTTGATATCAACCAAAAGGCGCATATTTAAGTTCTATTCAAGTTTTTTGCTCTCTTCTCTAGATAGGAAATAGGCTGAACGAATATTGAGTTATAATAAAAATCATCAGCGGAAAAACAACTGATTACTTAATCAAACATTTGGTTTAGCCAAAAACTGTAAATTGCAGTTGGCAAAAGTTTTCAAACGCTCATGATACTAGTTTATTGGCCAATATAATTCTCGGAAATTGTCAAAATATGCAATTTACGCCATGTCCACTCATTGTTCTTGCAATTTAAAGTTTGTCAAACGCATTGAACGCATAATGCACTGAGCTTTGCAAAAATCGTACAATCGTCAAACCTATTTTTTCTGATGGACGTTTAGTCAATTCAGCAAAAAAATTTAAAAAACGCTCTCTAGTGCAGTTCAAATTCTTGTGAGAACTTTTGCTGTAAAAAGATTCGGGAGTTCTGCAAATTTCTTACAGCATATCAGCAAGAAATAAAAATCATTTGAGAAGATTTTTATTTTTCTCTTTGTTGGTATGAACAGGTCTTAGTTAGTCTTGTTGTTACGAATCTTGGTAGCAGTCATTCATGATTTTTGAATAAAATTACCTAAATATTGAATGATTTATTTGGCATTTCCCTATTTTGAAAAAGTGTTCATTGACTCGTTCAATTTGAAAAAAAAACTTAAGTTTTTTTTCCAAAAGAAAAATTAAGTCTGGAATCTTTACAAAAATTTTTAAAAATGACGGAATTGACAGAGTGATGTAGCACTTGTAAGGTATTTTAGCTGTGTTCTGGGCGAAATCAAAAAATTAGTCTATTACAAAAAAAATTGTTCAAAAAATGTTTCGATCGTTTTTATCTATAAAGAATAAATGCAACTTTTATGATGTCTTCTTCAATGATGTTTTTTTTTGTGATAACTTATGATCTGGCTCAAAGACTGGGCCCAAAAAGGTCACAGTGAGAGTTTGATCTTTTTTGTTTTAGTTATATGTTTTATTTTTCTTAGCAAAAATCTTTGTCAGCTCACGCTTTTTTTTGCACAGCAGCCAACTATTTTAGTTTTCATTGCAAATTTTAATTGTTTTTCAAATAAATAAAAAACGCTACTTCCTTAGCCAAGAATTTCAATTCCAGCTGTAAAACAATATCATATATCAGTTGTTTTTAAACCTCTTGAATATAAAACAGGAGTCAGGGTTAAAACACTGGCGAAGTGTTTGGAAAAAAGTGGTGAGTTTTTTTACTCTTTTTAACTTATTCGAAAAAGAAAATGGTTGATAATTTTTGAAAACTTATTAGATTTTATTGGTTCGGCTCACAAAAAGATGTTTGAAACAATTTCTCAGGGTGCAGATATTTTTGTATGGTTTTTTGAACAAGAATTATTGTTTTCAAAAACTACAGCATGTCAGTAATTTTTAAACCATGTTATTTTTCCGAGCACATTCTTTACAGAGATGAGACGGAACTATTTTGCAATTTTCTGTTTTTATGGAATTGCATGAAAAGTGTATGATTAGTATTTTTCCATATATGAAAATTGTATGACTAGCAATTTTGGTCAACCCGGTTGAATAGAAATTTTGTTACAACTTTAAATCGCGCACCTTCAAACCATCAAAGCCAAAAAAAATCAGACTTTTGGAGGACTTTCAAATGAAAGTTTTCTCAGAAATTTTAAAAAGGTTTTCCTGCAAATATAGGTTGGAGATGTTTGCATATTTCTTACTATCGCTACCGAAGAAAGCTATTCATATTGACTATAATTTTATTATCTGAGGAAAAATGGAAAAAGGCGGGTTTCGCATAAATGATTTGACCGATTACATCCCCTGAAGAAGTAAATGGTTTAAATCAATTGTAATCCCCTACCCTGCAGACAAAAAAACAGCAAATCTCATTGATTTTCAACTCCTTACAATGTTTTGTTTTATTACTTTACCCAGTGAAAGGTGGTTGATAAAATTGGCAGGTGATGTCGTTACCCAATCAAATTATGCAAAATTTTCGGCGGTTTGGAGGCCAAAACACAATTCAATGTTTTCAAGCTGCGGTCTACAAAGATATTTCTTTCTTTTTCTAAGCAATTTATGCAATTTTGTCCTCTTTTTTCTCAGGTAACCATTAAAAATTAAAAGTAAACAATTTTTTAGCGAGTATGACCATACTAAATTTACTTTTTGAATATCAATGGGTGTAGTGATTTTTTTCACTGCTTGGAACACGTGGAAAAACTGAAATTTAAAAACAAAATCAAGCATAAAGTAAGCAAAGATAACAAAGATCACCCTTTATGACTATAAAACACTACTTTAAATATGAAAAACAACCAAGTGAGATTTTTTAGCATCTCGAGATACGCTTGAAGGCAGCTTTCATTCGCCACATGGGATTTATTTAACTAAGGATATTATTTTTATCCCTTACACATAGATAATAATAAATGATATTGTTATAAGTTTGTCCTGGAGGTTTAGCCACATGCATACCATTCAGTGATTCCATTGTAGATAATAAAAATCATACTCGATACATTTATAAATTTGTTAATATTGAAGTTGATCGAGTGTTAGATAAATCTGAAACGTTTCAATAATTATGATCGGATTGTTTATTTTTTATTGAAATAATCAGAACGATATCAGAAAGTGTTTTTTTTTCGTAATTATCTGGTTTCGTAATTTTTCTGTTTGTCAATTTTTTGAAATTGAAATCTAATACTTTTTTCTCATTAGACAATTTTCAACAAACTTATTCGAGTCATCATGTCGTCAATGTTCAACATGAAATTAATTTACTTGCTATTTACAATACTTTTTCGTTCCATTGTTTATTCGACCCTGGAAGCGAACGACCCTTCGGAACCCACTCTTCCGTTTTATAACATCCCCCTCAAAGGGGTGATAGACGAAGGCTACTCTGCAGCCATGGACATCGGCACCCCGCCTCAGACGGTAAAAAAATTTATAAGGAGTTATAGAATTTACTAAACTCCACTACCTCAGTAAAGTTCTAATTCAGATCTGAAATAATCTTTTTCAGACCTAAATTTCAGATCTGAAATGGCTTGTGAAAGAATAAAATAACGCTTGGATATTTTACGAATGGGTATTTTTGTATCTATTTTTAGATCAGAAATTTGGTTTTTCTTGGTTATTTCAGATCTGAGAAAATCTATTTCAGATCTAATTTTGATCTGAAATTAGCTTTTGTTGTTTTTTTTCTGATCTGAAAAATTAATGATTCTGTCATAATGTTTGATATTTTAGCTACTTATGTTGGTATTTAGTAGCTTCTGCTAGCTACTAGCAGGTACTCAGCAAAGTCTCTAATCAGAAAATGCTGAAATATGTTGCCCAAAGCATGAGCTAAACATCGGAAACGCATAAGTAGCTTATGGAAATCAAAGATTTGATAAGTTTTCTAACAATTTTTCAAAAACTTTTGTTAAACAGTCATATCGGTTTAAATAAAAGAATTGTTTGTGAAAATTTTTTGTTAATCTAAACCTTATTGTGTATTGAAGTAACAGCAATAAAACAAAATTCAATTGTTTGCTGAAAATGCGTGAACTATTCTTTAACAAAGGGTTCTCGGATCTAGTTTAAGATATATTATTTTCTATATCTGATCCAAATTAAAGATCTGAAATTTTCAAAAAATTTATCAAAATCTGAAATAAAGAGTTTCAGATCTGAGGAGGTTTTTATGTAATAAATAAAGATTTTCGAATCTGAGAAGGAACTTACGTAAAAAATAAAGAATTTCAGATCTTGTAGAAAAAATCCGCTGGTTACGGGCTCACTGGTTTCGGGTTCATTACGTTAGAAAGCCTCATAATAAATTAAACCAAAAGAAACCGAACCCATGGTAAACCGACCCCTTGACCATCCAAAGGGTCCACAATTTGATACTGTTTAATGACATCTAACTTCAGCCAACTACCACTGAATTTTTTGGCGCGAATATATACCGTTGAGAGGGGGAGTGTTTTTTCATAACATCACCTGCGGCACTTAAAATGGTCAAAATAGGGTCTCAGTGTCATCAACTATGGTTTTGCGTGGTGTAAAGTCCGTCCAATTTTTCTTCGACATTTTTTCAAAATCCTCCTTTCCTCCCTTTTGAGAAAATACTAGACCTATTCTTGGTTGAAACGATTTTTTGGCTCTTTGTCTTTTTGTTCCTATCGTCCGAGAAAATACGGAGCGTTTTTTTCTGTGGACAAAATTTAGTATTTTCTTTAGCTACGTTTTTTTAAGAAATTTAATCCCATCAAAATATTGTAACGCTCTGAGCTCAAATTTAAAGATGAGTTGCACAAGTCGTCAAATTTAAAAAAATAATTTCCTTCTGCGCAATAATTTTTTTTTGAATAAATGTTACCTAGAGGCAACATAAACCAGCTCAGAAAGCATTCGAAAATAAATTAAGCTAAACTGATCAAACTAGTTTTTCGACCTCCGCGACTAATATTTTGACCAGGACCGGATCTAGGATTTCCTCAAGGGGGCAACTTTTTTAGATCGACTAAATAGTTTTTTTGAGCTCTCTCAAATCACTATGAAGACCCCAGTTTGACGAAAACGTCTGCGCCGCAGGCAAAATTTTGAAAAAAAGGCCAAAAAAAGGCGTTTTTTGGAGCCCCCCTCAAATATAGTATATTTTAACGCTGAAGACTCCTTTAGAAAAATTCTAGGGTCAGTCAGCCAAAAACGGAAATCTCAACAGTACAAAGGGGGAACCTTTGGGGTCGAATCTCTGAGGGAAGGGCGTCCGCCCCTCACAACCCCCCCCCCCCCCCCCTCCCCCCGCGATTTTGACCATGCCGCGACTAATTTTTTTGACCGTCGCGACTAGTTTTTTTGACCGCCGCGGCTAACTTTCCTTTGGTCGCGCTAGTCACGGTTATTTTTCCTTCGGTCGCGCCGGTCGCGGACACAGTATCGGCCCGCAAAGTCTGGATTTACCAACTTTTGGTCGCGACCGTCTGCTCATAAAACCACAACCTCGACCCGGGCAATGATGCCCATCTTGATTTAAAAAAATAATCCATGATTGCAATCTTGATTCAGGTTCTGATCAACCTCACGCTATCCAAGATCAGGGCTAAAAATTAAATTTCTGAAATCAGCACTGAATTGTCTCTGAATTAGCGCTGCTTTTGAGAGCGCAAAAATAATGAAACTGCCTCGCCGGACTCGAACTTATTCTTAGTCACAGACGTTAATCTGCGCCATCGGCCTTTGCAACGCTGAGAAAGTCTGATTACACTAAATAAAAGCTAGGTGTAATGAAATTTTATCGTTCTTACGTTCTTTTGAGGCCCAAAATTGATTTTGCCAAAACTTATTGCTGATTTTTCTCAGATTCGTGGGTTCAAAACCACTGACTCATAGAAGAGCTTTGACTGTATTTTTGAATGATATATCTATGATTCCGTGAAAAAAATTACACTAGCATGGGATGCTGTTGAATTAGGGATAATAATTGTTGCAAGATTAACACGGGTAGGTTAAAGCTGAATCTTTGATCGGCTTCCTTTGCTGCTTGTTAAAACAGGTCGCAAGCATTTTATTGAAAAAAGGGCCAAAATATTTCCTTAGTAGCTAGAAGTTAGTAAATAAAAAAACAGGAAATTGGTGAAAATTAGGCTGGTTTTCCTATTGCAAATTTCTAATGATGGGAATGAATCTGAGAACAGCTAAACAAGAAGTAAGGACTTTTGGTTGCTTGCTGTACAAGTCGCACAAAAAATTACGGCCATATAAAAAAAAACCTTACAAAACAGTTTTAATTTTTTTTCATATGTTCGTTCCATTTTTTGTTCTTAATACGATGAGAGGAAACATTTTAACTAAACTAAGATTATCGACTACAGTTGCGCAGAAAAACTGTATGAAAACAAAAAATTGATTTATTTGAGATTTTTTCAAATGTTCTATCAAACTTTGACAATTTTTTGAACTTCCCAAACTTTTTTTAAAATAAAGCAGTAGAAAACAGCTTTGGAAGTTCGTGTTTTTATACTTCGTAAACAAATGACTTTCATCTACCAATCTGCAATGCAAAACTTTGAAACATTTTCATGACATTGAATAAACTTTTCGAGTAGTTATTCTAATCTCAAAGGAATCGCAATAAGCGTTTTAATATGATATAACATTCAGCACATTCTGATAATTATTTATGATATATATTTTGGGTGAAAAAAATTAAATCTCAACCGCAAGCAAAATTCCAGATATCTTTTCCAAAAGAAAAACATTGGCCTGATTGTGCTAATATTGTTCGTGAAACTTTTAAAAACTTTATTCTTAGCCCGCGTTTTTTAGAGACAAACACTGCAAAAACATCAAACCTATGATTCGTTTGGTTTTAGCCACTAGTTAAAGCAATTTTCCCAAACTTTCAGAATTTTTTTATACGGTAACGGTAGTCTAGACCAGTTTTTTTCTTCACTGGGTAACTTTTTAGTAAACTAAACTGTCTTCCAAATCAGGAGTGAAAGGACTTTGTTATGACACCAATTTTTATATTTACAATTGTTAACTTAGGTAACTAAATCCACTGGGTCAAAAAAACTCCCTGTGCCATTGTTACTTCACAATCATTTCGTTAATTGTCGTTTTCACGTAACTTCCTGTAATTTGATATTAGCACATATTATTCAAAACTTATTGGAACCTGATCTAAACTACATTTTATGATTGGATAAATTAGATGTTTTACCATTGTAAAGTATTTAATATTAACCAATCATGATCCATCTAACTAACAACCCACTTATTTGTAAGTGCTGAAATTACTTGTAATTTCAGCACCAGAGAGATTTGAATTTAACTTAGAAATTAGTTGCCTCTCCAAAGGAACTTCAGCAGCCGCAATAAACCAGTATACCCTAGATCTATTGAGCCTAGCAGAGACTAGTTAAACAACCTGAGACTAGATAGTATAAGAGTAAGATTAGGATCGGTATTAGACTAAGAAGTTGCACGAATCTATCCGGCCGAAAATAAGATAGCGTGACGAGCAGACGGTGTACCCTATCCGAAATTACTCTATGAGTTAACCACCTAGGTTATAACTCATCTGGTGCGACCATAAGTCTCGAACAAGACCTTAATAGCTTAGAAGTAACCAAAAAAAGATTAGAATTTAAACAAAACGTTTTTAAAATGTTATACGACGATAATTTAATCGAAATGTCTCTACGACTCAATAGATCAGAGCCAATATTCCGAACGATAATAGAACTACCCGGAATTGGAAGAATACCTCGAACCAGAGACGACATACGACAAAGTAGAAACTTACCAAATAGTTATATGATAGTACGGCAAAAGCCAACACAACCTTTTATATTTAGAATCTTATTAGCAATGAATTTAGATTTTCATTTGCAAACATAAAATCTTGAAGCCAATCTTCATGCTCATTACAGGCGCTAAACAAAATATTAATATACAATAACGATTGATAAAAATATCTCAGATCGTTTTCCTAAAATTCTGCAGTATTATATAAAACATGTTTGGAAAATATTTATTGAAAATCAAAATAAAAATTAGTAGCATGACAATAAACTGTTAGTAATCATAAAATCATCAGTTGTCTCAGCTTCATCACCTAAAACATAACAGCAATCATAAGCTCACTAATATCATTCAAACACTAAATCTTTTCTTAAACAAATTTAAACCATTTTAAACTTAAATTCATTTAATTTTAAAATCAGATCATCAAGGCTTATCCTTGGATCTTAATTCATTTTCTATTTAATTAAATTTTAAAACTTGATCATCGAGGCCTATCCTTGGATCAAAAAGAACAATTTTGTTCTCCCCCACCGACTTAGCTAGTGTCTAACGACCTCAAACGTTGATTCACTATCCAACCCTTTCGCAAAACCCAAGACTAATAGAAATTTTTCAACAAAACTAACCATTCAAAT